TGACAGGTAGTCCTACTCTAAATTTTTTGGGGTTGTTATACATAAATAAAATATTTTAAAGAATTACAATTTTTTTATAAAAATTAAAAAAAAAAATATTCATAAAAACCATTTTTAATTTGCAATACCTTTATATATAAAATATATATTTGAAATTTCAAGCCATATTCTTTTTATTTTCATTTTAGTACTGTAAAAATATAAATTTTAAAAATTTCTTATTAAAAGAAAATCAAGATTTTAAGTAAATTTTTTATTTTTATAAAGTAGTCACACTTATTTTTTTTAGTACTTAATAGTTTGATAAATAAAATTTGTAAAAGTCATTAGAGCTCGTTTTTATATACATATGCAACTCCCTAAAAATAAAGATAGTGTTTGAAGAAGGGGAAGGAGGTAATATACACCAAAATTATATGGAAGAATTATATAAGAGATTACATAATATTATTTAATTTTTAATTTTTTAAAATAATTATTATATATTATAAATATTTTTTTTTATAAAATAATTAAATATTGAATACATCAATATTTATTTGTTAAAAATAATTTGTTCTTTTTTTCAAAAATATGATGAATATTTCATATATTGTTATAGAATTCTATGAAACTCACTTTTAAAATTATAAAATATTTTTAATAACAAAAAATAATAATTTTGAATTTAATATATTTTTTTATTATTAAACTTTAGAAAGAAAAGAATTAACCTGCTTTCTTCATAAGTTTATGCAGCCTTATTATATACAGTAATCAATTATTTTTTTGTTACTGATCTTATGCCTTAATCTTTCTAAACGACCGTTAGTCATAAAAAAAAGAATTATATATAAAGGTTAATTTTATGAATGTTTTAGAATTAGTCTAATCTATTTGAATTTAGTCCAACATAATACTTGAGAAAGATAATAACTTTCTGAATTTTGGTTTTTCTGGACCAATGTTCATAACTTTTGGGGCGCTTAAATAGGTCAAGAAGTGCTAATATTTCTAACTTCTTCCGTAAAGCATGGAGGAAAATTTAACGAGAAAAAAATAATAATAAAAAAAAATAACTAATAGTTTTATATTCAATTTAAAATTACTTACTTTTAAATAAAATTATATAATATGAATTTAAATTAAAAATATGCATATTATTACTCGGAATCATTTGTTTTAAATAATTGGCCATTAGATTTAATTTAATTATGTTTTATTTATATAATCAATATATAATTAGTTATTATATTGATAATATTTATATGCTATTTAAATGTTTTATTAATTTTTAAGTAAAAATTTAGTTTATAATATTGTTATTCAAAAACGGTATAATGTTAAATTAAATAAAAAATTGTATCTTAATATACGCTCCGTTTAAAATGCTTTTCATGGTAAAAAATAATCAAATTAGGATTACGAAACAAATAATATCTTAAAAAAGAGAACCAAATAAAAAACCAAAAAATAAAATTTATTAAGCAAATAAAAATTCAATCGTGAAAAATAAAGAAAATAATTAATTGTCTTCTTCTTTAATAATTAAACAAGAAAATAGTAAAGAAATTAGATACAGACCTTTTAAATTTGTATTTTTACCAAATTTTTACTAGAGTAAAATCAAAAAACTAAATATGAAAATATCCTTTCAATTTTTAAATATTTTAGATATTAGTAAAGAATAATAAAATATTAATAAATATTAAACTAAAAAGTTGATTCATTATATAAAAAATCAAAACTAATTCACTTAAATATATAGAATACTTTATTTACATAATAAAAATCTAAATGAGGAAATTTTTTTTTATCGAAAACAATTTAGTTAGATTTGTAATAAATAAATAATTAATAATAGAAATAAATATAGTTAATTATTTTTATCTAAAGTTTGTATTAATTCAAAAGAAAACTATAAAACGTTGTGAAAGTGCTAATTTATATGAGTCTAATTATCTTTTATAAAGAAAGGCAAAAAAGTAAATAAATGTTATTCTGATATTACAAAATTAATTTCTTATATTTTTTTAAAAATACATTTATAAAATATATAAGTTTAATATGTAAAGTTATATATTTAATATTTGGTTTTTAAAATTTTTTATAAGATACCCTTTATCATTAAATACTTTGGTTATTTTAAATAAATGAGTTAAAAAATAATAATTTTATAAGAAACAATTAAAATATATTATAGAGTAAAATAATTTTATAAAAATTTTATATTGCTTGTTCTTATAATTTTTTAAAAAAACTTCTTCTACAAAATTAAAGAGATGAAAAAAAATTAATGTTTTTTTTTATGATTAAATTTTTATAAAAAATAAAAAACAATATATACTTCTAAGATTTAATTAGTTTATTTTCAATTTATAATTTTAAATTTATTAACAAAAAATATATAATATTATATCCTTATATATTTAAAAGCCTCTTCATTCCTTATTATTATTTTAATAATATAAGAAATAATATATTCTGTAAATATATAAAATATGCATATAAAATTTAAAGTAAATTTCTTTATTTTTTAATAATTTTTTTTTAAAAAATATATATAATATTAATAGAAAACAAATTTAAAAAATATTCAACAAAATAATAAGTAAAAGCTATTGGTTTCTAATAAGTAAAATGCGATATTTAATATTTTTATTTATTTTTAATTTTTGTTTATATTTTATAAAAAAATAATTAATCATAAATCATTATGTACATAGTTTTTTTTAAAAAAGCATAAATATGGTAGAAATTGATTAATTTCATTGTCATTAAATTTGATTCCACAAAAAGCCTAATTATATTATTTTTCTTCAAATTTAATTTTATAATCATTAATAAATTTTTATATATGCCCACTTTAAAAAGGATATTGTTTGTTTTCTTCACAAAAATATTTGTATATTCCTTTTTTAATAATATGTTTCCATAATAACAATACATAAATTATTTATTTAATTAGTATTGAATAGTTTCCTTTTAAGATTTATATACTTCTTTTTTCTTATTTTCTAATTATTATTAAATATCTATTATCATGTATCCTATAAAAATAAAATGAGTTTGATTTCTGAAAAAAAAAAGTATGTCAGGGTTTTGATTCTCTGAATATAGTTTTTATCGCTATAAAAAACGCTAGTTCATAATTATAAAAGCAGACAAAATAATTTTTTAAAAGCATTTTATTCTTATTTATTAGATAACAATCAAATGTTTGAAAATCTATTTTTTTTGCAAATATTAATATAAGCTCGCGCATTTAAAGTATAAAAAATTATATAACAAAATTACTAAGTCCTCACAATACTTCTATATTTAGAAAATCAAACAACTGTTATTTTTATAATTTAGACAGTAACTATTAATCAATACTTTTAATTTCACCAATTTTTTTTTAAGAAATAGGACATTATACTTTTAAATCTTATTTAAAATCGTTACCAAAATTATTAGCTTACTTTTATATTTATTCATTTTATAATTTTCTTTCGAATTTGTTTTTAAAATATTCAGGAATTTGTGCTTTGATTCTATTAAAATCTATATTTATTTATAAAAATAAACAAAATTTAAAATAAAAATATCATTAAATACCTTAAGGCTATAAATTATATAAAAAAATAAGAAATAATATAAAAATATCCTTCATTAATTTTTTTAATTAATTTTATGTTCTTTATTTTTAAATAAATTAACTTTATTTAAAAGTAAATTTATATCTAATGTTTATGTGAATATTTTAAATTATTAGAAAAGTTATTTATTATATATAGTGATATAAAAACTAAGAATTTCATAAAAAAAAAATACGAAAAAGCGGAATGCGAAAATTATAAATATAATAAGTAAAAAATAATTAATCGGTAGCTAAGAAAAAAATTTAATTAAATAAAAAAAAAATGATAAAATTAAAATATATTACATAATACACTTAAAAAGTTGAAGTAATAAGAGATTTAAGTGTTTATTAATTAATATTTATAAAAAAAAAAAAGTTTTATGTTTAAAAAAAAAACAATAGAATATAAATATATATATATATATATAATTTAATTTAATTTAATTTAATTTAATTTAATTTATATTTAATTTAACTTACCAACAATTATTTTATTTAATATCATTATCTAGATTTATATTTTTATAATTGTATGGATGCTAAAAATTATTTTTATTTTGTATCTAACTTCTTTCCTTTTAACAAATTCTTTTATTATAATAATATCATAATTTTTTTATATATTTTAAGTTAGAATTATCATTAATAATTTATAAATTTTTTACTATTTAATTTATATTATTTAATGTATTCTCAAATAATTATATATATATTATTTTTTATTTATTTTTTAAATCCTTTTTTTAAATTCTATAAATTATATATTGTACAAACAATATTTTTTTATAATTTTATAATTAATAAATAAAAATTAATATCAATAATCAAATAAAAAAAGATTGAAATATAATATATATAAAAAATACAATTCTTATTTTTTTAAAAAAAGCAATAATAAAAAATAAAAATGTTTACTTAAGTAGATTTTGATAATTTATAAGAAATATTATATGCGAAAGATACATATTAAATGGAATAAATATATCAATTATATTTAAAAAAATTTTAAAATGAAAATTTATTTAAACCATGTTCAATGTTATTAATGCTTTTAAAATAAAATGTAAAAATATGATATTAATACTTTTTTTATAAATTTAAATTAATTCTTTTAAAAAAATTTAAGCTTATAAGTGAAAAACAACGATTAATTTCTATTTTTATTATTTTGGAATCATATAAATATGAATAAAAGCAAAATCCTTTTATTATAAATTTAATTTAAGCGCTTTTATAATAATATGATATTTTTGAATATAAGTTTTTTTATTAATTGCTTAATTTTTAACAATAAAAAGATAAAGAAATTGTATTATATTACTAAAATAATTTTTATTTTTTTATTTTTATAAATATTAATTATTTAATTATAAAATATTTAAATTTTTAGTATTTAAAAACAGAATTAAGAAGCATTATAGAAGATGAAAAAAGCTAATTTCTAAGTAATAATTATAATTACTAATTTTATGTAGACAGATTAAAAGAAACAAAATAAAAATATATAGATTAATTACCAAAGGTAAATAAAAATATATTAAAATGAAATATAAAATTAATTTATAATTGTAAAAAAAATTATGTAATATATTGTTAATTAATATATCACAGAATATACATTAATATAATTATGGTTCCTACAATTACTTACCAGATTAAAATACAGCAAAGTTAAAATAAGTTTATAAATATATGTATATTTTTTAAAAAGTCCATAAAATTATCTTGATTAAGTAAATATTTCATAACTAGAATACAATACATTTATTCCAGATGTAATGTGTCCGATTCCCTAGGAAGAAGAATTACAAAGTTTCGAAGTAAATAAAAGTACAATTTTCAAGCATTTATATTTATAAAAATAAATAAATTAAAAAAAAGCCTGAATGGTTAAATCCAGGTATGATTCCTGAATAACTTTGGGATTATAAAATATGCTCTACAAATGACAAGAATACATTATTGTAAGAATTATTAATAAAAGCATATGATAAAGCTTTAACATAAGATGAATCTGAAGTTTTTAAAAAAATATTTTTAATTAAAAAAAATCAAAATTTAGAATTTTAAAACTGAAATTGATTCAATTAATGTTAATATAAACGAAATATATTTGGATGTTGAATCTCTACCTTAATTAATTAAGCATAATAGCAAAATTGCAAGCTAAGTATTAATAAAAGTTTCGACACAAAAGCAATTTAATTTGTAAAAACATTATTAAAAATTACTATTTTATAATAATTATAAAAAGATATTTGGATAAATTATAAGGATTAGATTTCACATTATAATCAATGGAAGTAGTTAATGATTTAATAAATAATGTCAATATACCAAAAGAGTTTATATATTTATATATAAGTAACTGTATAGTACATTGTGAAAATATGAAAAAAGTAAAAAAAAAATTATTTACTATAAATTTAAAAAAAATAATAAAGGAAAAAAGTGCGCATTAAAGATTAGTAAGACTTTTATGTGTTTTTATAAAATCTTTAATAAAAAATGATGCAATAAATCCCAAAGAAAATTTTATTGAAGTATTTTTTTTTATAAAATTAAAAATATAAATAATTTTTTTTAAAAGTTACAAGCATTTTGTATTGAAAACTCAAAAATACCAGAAGCAGCGAATTTATTTAAAACCTTAAAAGATATAGATATAGATTAATAAAAGAAAAGTAATTGAATAATTAATAGAATATCAAATGAATATATTTAAAAAATTATGATAATAAAAATATAAAACTATCAAAATATATATATATATATATGTATTTTTTTGACAAAATCGTTTTCGAAATAATTTTGGTTAAATTAATTAAGCATCTTCTATCTTCTATCTCTATCACTGATTGAGTATATAATTTATTATTTAGTAAATATATTTATGTTTTTCAATAATAATTCTTTTGATAATTTAATTATTTTGCGGTTAATCACTCAATTAATGTTTCTAAATTTTTTATAAAAAAATTAATTTTAAATTCTTAAAATAAAGAATTCAACAAAAAATTAAACAAACAAATTTTTTCTATGAAAATCTTTTTATTATTTGTTCGTATTGTTTTTTGTATTTTTTTAATATCAATAAAAAAAAAGGTTATTAAAAAATTACTTTTTAATTTAATTTTTTTTTTCGTATTATGGAATTATATTTTTGTAATATATAAAAAAATTAAATTTAATAAAGATTAGCTAATTTTTTTTGTTATAGATAGAGATTTTAAATAAACTTATATAGAAATAAAAAAAAATATATGAAAATTAATAAAAAATTAGGAATAACTTAAATTTATTTTTAATTAATAAAGCATATTTTAAATAGATATGACAAAATCTTATAAATAATTTAAACTAATAAAAGAAATATTTATAAATCTAAAAAAATATTTTTATTATAAATTATATCTAAATATTTACTTTGTAAAAATTTTTAATCATAAAAGCTAATGATTAAGATAATTTAAAAAAATAAACAAAACACAAAGCTATTTTTAACTTTAGTTATTTAAAATATTATTTTAAAATAATAATGTTTTTCAATAAATAAAAATATATTTTTTATTTATTTAAACATTTTTTAGTTATATATTATTATATTTTATTCAATTTATTTTTCACAAACATCTTTTTATATTAATTATTATAAAAATAAATCAAAATTTAAATGAATTTAAAAAAAGTCCAATCTTATTAAAAAGTCCTGAATTATTTGGTGAAATTTTAAACCCAATTGCCAATTCAAAAGCTATATGCTCACTATTATAATTATATAAATTGAAATCTACATTAAGCTAGTTCATCATAACAGCCCTTTCAAAAAGTTCCTATTTATTGTAAGGTTAAAAAATAAATTAGATTTCCTTTAAAGATCTAGTATATTATACATATTCCTAAAATATCATAAAAGCGAATTATTTCTTTTCTTAGCAAAAACTAATGACCAAATCATTTCCAAGAAAAACGCAAGCTTTACTTTGTGAAAAGTATCCATCTTTTAAAATAAGTACGGAACCAAGTTTAAATTTATTCGCCAAAACTTAAATATCAATATTTATGAAGTCTTAATCTTCATGAAAAACCACTTTTGAAAAAATATCTAAATATTTCTATGCATTAATAACTTTTTCAAGATCTTTACTAAATAAATGGAATAAAAAATCAAACTTAATATTAGAGTCGTCCCAAAAGTTTATTAACTAGATGTTTTGTTCATCAAAAAATGCAAATATGGCACTAATATTGTTCTACTTTTTATCTATTTAATATTATTTTTTTTGTCCTTCATTATGAAAAACCTCTATTTTTTTCCAAAAAATTGTATAATGGATAATTAAAAATTTCTAATTATAATATTTAAATGAATCAAAGTCCTATATACAATCTATTTTTTCTATTATTTACGGATTTATCATTTTTATTATTTAGTTTGTTATATAAATATATTAATTATCATCTATTATTTTCGAATTTAAAGAAAAATATTATTATTCTTATTCTTAGTTTACGTATTAGGGAATTTTTTTTTCCAAAATTAATTTAAAATTATTTTCTTTTTCATAAAAAATTAAGTCTTTTTTCTTTATAAAAATATCTGATAAATCGTTAAAAAATATATCCTTTATTCTTGTATCATATAAATGGTTTAATTTTTCTAGAATAAACTCTATTTCTTAATTCTATTAGTTTTCAAAATTTTCAAAATCATATTAATAAATTTAATTTTTTGCGGATAAATATGTCATATTATTGCTTTTGGATACTATTATTAAAGAATTTATTTAATATCCATAGTCTGTAGGGGTTATTTCATACGCTTTTAAAAATTTCAAAAAAAATTTCAAAGATGGGGACTCAATGATTTTGTATAGAAGTGTATTTTTATGAATTTTTAATATTTATATTTTATATAATATTGTTTACCACCATATAAATTTCGATTTAGAAAATATATATAAAGATTCTTTATATTTTAACTGATTTATTTCAATTTATGAGGATAGTTAGTATTATTTTTCTACTTCCTTTTTTGTTTTTGAATCTAATTAAATAAATTAAATTTTTTTTTTTTGGTTTTCCATATTTGCTAATTTATTTTTTATTATTATATTAAAAGATTATATTTTTATTTTGTAATATTATTTTTGTTAGATTAATATGTAATAAAAAAAATTAAAAGATTAAATTATTTGTTTTAAATATTTAAAATCTACGATAATTTATTTTATAAAATTAAACATCACATCTTACTATCAAAAAATTTCAGGGGTAAATAGTAGAAGTAAAAAATTATTATTTAATTAGCAAATACCCTAATACAAACATATATATATTTATTTTCTGTTTATTTACTAAAATTCTAATCTCATTAATAATTCCTCGAAATTCGATTTTAATGGTATTTTCTAAATAGATGATTTTCATCTTACCATACAAATTCGTTCTATTCTTGATTAGTAGCCATATTAGAAAAATTAAATAGTATACATATTTATTATATACTAAAAGTTCATATTAATAATTCAGGTTGTCATTATGATCGACTTTAGTTTAAAATATAAGTAGACATAAGAAAAATTAAATAATTTTAATATTTATTCGTAAAAAAATTAATATTAATTTAGCATTAATTGCTCATAAATTAAACTAAATAATTCAAAATCAAAAACTTTATTAACTAATTATTTCTCCGTATATAAAAATATTAAGAAACAATAAATTATCAAATAAAATTTAATAATATAATTTAAAGCTTTTTTATTCAACTAAATATATTCAATACTTATAATACTTATCGTTAATAGATCTAATAGTTAATATAACTCCTATATTAATTTAATCACGAAATAAAATAAAAGGAATATTTTATAATTAAAAGATATAATATACCTAACTAGAGCATTTTTAATTTTATGATAAAGTATTCATAAGCTAAAAATTTTTTATATAAAAAATAAATAATAAAATACATCAATAATTTTAATTCAAATAAAAAAAAGAAATTTTACAATAATAATGAATTTCTGAAAACTTAACAAAAAATCAGTATTCAACATGTTTATTAAAAAGAAAATTCTTAAAAATACCTATAAAAATCCTTCTTTTATCCAAAGAAAAAGTAATTTAAAAATATTTTTAAATAAATCATTTAATTATTTGAGTTATTTTTTAACTAAAACTTAAACTTTATTTAAATTCTCCCTAATAATAAATAAATACTTCATTATTTTTTAAAATTAATAATAAGTTTTTTTGAAATAATATTTTTGAGTCGAAATAAAATTTTATGCCTAAAAGTAGCATTCATATATTTTTCTAAATTTTTTTGAAAGAATTATTTCAAAACCCTGTAAGTTTTAATGCTTTAGGCATTCCAAATTATTTTAATTAATCCATATCATTTAAAGAATCAAAATTACTATAAAAATAATTAAACCTAAGGCAAAAATATTTTATTAAAGAAAAAGGCTTACCAAATAAAAATAAGTAAATAATTGAATTATAAGAAAATTCAATTATACAGAATTTTATTCTACCTTATTGATTTTATCTAAAATATTAAAAAGATTAACTGGACGGATTATTTACTTTCGTATTTTATAATTCATTTTTTTATTTTTCCGGTAAAATAGCACTATATAAATCCTTTTAATATTTTAAATTATTCTTCACATTGTATATTAATTTCCTCATAAAGAACAGCAGATTATTTATTTTACTGTTTTTCTTATTACCAAGAGGTCTTTAAAAATAAATAATATTTAGTATATTTTTTTATCAAAGATTATATCTTTCAATATTCTATGATTAGCTTTTTTTCTTTTTATAAACATATTATGTAAAATTTATTGTAAGTAACTTCAAAATATTAGCAAAACTGATATTTTATTTAAAAAATAATCATACGCTAAATGGATTGATTATTAATGAAAAGTTTCATAATATTAATTTTCTCAGCCGTTTCAGACTAAACTAATTTTTTATAATATGAAGTTAATATTATATAATTCAATTTTTTTATTTAATTTTGGTTTTGTAAATATAATAAAGTATAATAAAGCTACATAAATATTTTAAAAAAGATAGAAAAAAAATTTTAAGACTAAATAAATCTAAATTCACTTAAAAAAATTTAGTAATAGTTATTGCACATATTTCAAAATATAGAATTTTCTAATAAATTTTGTTTAATCCTTAAAATTTTATTATATTTATATTTACTATGTAATCAAGAATCGAAATCGCAATTATTTTATTTTTATTCAATTTAGAAAAAAAAAAAAATAGTAGCTTATAAAAAACTTTTTTTAAATATTTATAAAATATTAGTTGCTTGATTTTTTCTTAAAACTTAGAAATATAAATATTGAATTTATATAATTTTATAGGATTGAGAAAAAAATGACTTATTTAAATGTTTGTAATTTTGATGTTATTTGTAATTAAAAAATTTAATATATTACTAGAAAAAATTATTTTGGTTAAGAATTTTTTTCAATTTTGAAACAACTAGATTATTTATTTTGAAAAAAAAAAAAAATGTTTTTCTGTAAAAAGTAATGTATTTATTACAATTATATTTATATTTTAAAAAATTATTAATTTAACACGTTATATTTTAATTTCAAAATATAATTTAATTAGAAATTATAAAAAATTGTTACTATTATAAGAAATCCAATAAATTTTTGAATATATATATAATGTTATATAATAAAAACAAAAATTAAACATATTAGTTAAAATCATAACATATTTTTACTTTAAATATTCGAATTCTTATTATAATAACTATCTTTAAATAATGATGATCTTCATGCTTGCATACATTAACCATTTTTATTCAGTGATGCCAAAAATAAACATTCGGTGCAATTATTAGCTGCTCCTCCATTACATCTTTTACATGAAGTATGACATTAATAGCATTTTGAACCATTTTTAAAATAACCATGAGGACAATAGTCTTAACAAGTTCCATTAGGACCAATTATTTAATTACCAGAACATTATTATACACATTATCCTTTTTCTACTGCTTTATTACATCTTATAGAACAATCAATACCCCCATATCCATATAAGCATAAACAAACTCCTTTTACACAAACACCATAAGAGCTACAATAATTCTTGCATTAAGGAAAAAAATCACAGAATTAAGAAAATGAAGAAGGACAAACAATTTTACCATAATTACTATTTTTAGGAATAATCATTAATGCTTCTCCTTCTTTAGTACAAACAACTTATCTTTTTATTTAAGGAAAGAATACAGTAATAGTTTTCATATCTGGAGAGCATTAAAAAATATGACATCTTCTTTAACTATCTTGAATTACTTCAACTCCATTAGAGCTTGTAGAAGTAAAGCATCTACTATTAGTACCAAAATATTCTAATAAAAAACTATTACTCGTATTCAAATAATTATTTTAAAAAGAAGTACACAATTTATTCTAATAAATACTTTTAATTTAACATCTATCTGTGTAAGGAGTAGCAGAAGGTTCTCCATATCCATCATTTTCGAAAGAACATTAAATTCCTTTTTATTTTGGGAACTCACTAAAGCTTTTTTGTTTACTGTAGCATCCATCAATTACAAATGAGCATCCTTTTCCTCTACCCCAATAAAGTTTTTATGACATGTTTTCATCTACTTCAGTATAATAACCAGTATCTCTTAATAAAGCAACAGTAAAAATTGATAATTAAGTACCTGAATTTACTCGACTTGAAATCATGATTTCATTTTAGACAAGTAGTTATTCCCAATGCGAACCTAAAGAGCCATCTTCTCCTTGGTTTTCAAGTTACATACCTTCCATAACAGGACAATCAAAATATTTCCTAGCAGTTAAAACAATGTTTTTTGTTTAAACTATTTTTGTTGGTAGACCTCTAAAGGTTACTACTTTTATTATTTAATTTACTCCACTTTTTCCATAATATTAGCCTGTCTTAGGATTTATCCAAAATTACATTTGGAATCCATTAAAACCTAGGATATGTAAAATCTCATGGATAGTAGTTTCTAGATCACTCTAAAATTATTCATGGCTTTATTATTAACCAACTTTAGCCAAATTAAATAAAATTCTACCAAAAGAAGGTCTCATGTATTAATCATTGTAACCACAAATCTAAGCGCTTGCTAAATGTCTACTTTACGGAGTATTTTAAGCTATAATATAAATATGTAAATCAGAATTAGGAATACCTTAGGATACAGCAGAAGTAGGTATTTAAACACCTGAGCAATCTAAGTACCATATTTTACTATTAGACGGAAAATAGTTATTTCCTTAAATTGAGTTTAATTTTAAAAGTTTACTAAAAAATGATCTCGAAGCTTCCATTAATCTAGCTATATATTCAAGCAAAGGTTAACTTATAGTTTTACCAAGAAATTTGTAATCATAAGTTATTCTAATTGGATAGCTTACTTTAACCAATTAATTATATTAAAGAATTCGTTTAGGCTATATTTCTGAATCATCTAATAGTTTTATTCTATCAAACAATTCCCTTTGCAACTCGTGATTAATACATTTATGTGTATACACGATATCGAATAGGAAAAAAAACACGAGAATAAATAAAATTATTTTTTAATTATGCATTTAACTTTTTATTTAATTTTATTACTCGAATTAAATAATTTTAATGAATATTTTTTAAAGAGCTATTAATGATAAAGTATATATATTTATTAATTAGTTTAATTTATTATAAAAATCTTTTATAAATATTTATGAATATTATTAAATAAAAATTAATCTATAATAATTTTTTAATAAATTATAAATCATAAATTAATTTAATTTTATATTAATTATAATAAAAAAAATAAAATAAAATTATTTTGTTTACAAGAAACAAATATATTAAATATTGATATTTTGTAAATATATAAAAAAAAATATATATAAAAAATAAATAAAAATATTTTTTTTATTTTTTTTAAAAGTAATATTTAAAAACTATAAAAAAATTAAGAAAATAAATATTTATAATATAATAATTTCAAAAAAATATTTTAATTAAAATATTTTATTAAAAAAAAATAAAAAAGTATAAAAAAAAATTTAATAAAATATTAAAATATATAAAAATAGATTAAATTAAATTAATTAATAAACAAAAATAAAAAATATAAATATATATATATATTTATATGTAATAAAAATTTTATTTTATTTTATTTTATTTAGTAAAAAAATAAATATATATCTATATTTTATTATGATGAATTATAATAAAATTTAATAATAATAAAAATATTTAATTATATATTATTATAAAAATATGAAAAATAAATGTATATATTTAAATAAAAATTAAAAGAGAAAAAAAAAAAAATTAAAATGAATTTTAAAAAAATATAAAGAAAAAAAAAATTAATAATTATATAAAAAATTCATAAAAAGATACTTAAAATATATATATATATATATATAAAAATATACGAAAAAAATATATGATAAGATAAAAAAATGAAGAAAAAAATTAAAGATAATATTATAAAATAAAAAAAAAAAAAAAAATATATTTATTGATATAAAAATCATAAAAAAATCTATAATAAATATAAATATATTATTTAATTTATTATTTATTATTTATTTATTTATTCATTTTTTTATTTTTTATTTATATTTTATTTATATATTTAAATAACAATTATTTATATATATAAATATTATTTTAATTTACAATTTTTTTAATATTTATACATTTTATGTATTTTTTTTGATATATTACATTATTTGATATTATTTATTTTAATATTATATTTTTTTACATTAAGGTTGTCTCATCTTGTTTTTATTTTAATATAAATATAAAATTTATTCATTTATTTTTTTTAATTATAATATATTTATTTTTTTGTTCTTTTTGAAAAATATTTTAATTAAAAATTATTTTGTACTTTATTATATTTGTTTTTTAAAAAATATATTTTTTTTATTAGATTTAAATAAAAAATAAAATTTCTACTAACATTTTTTTTTTTAAAAATAAAATTAATAAATATTTTTTATATTTTTACTTTTTAATATATTATAAATATATTATTTCTTTTTGCTTTTATTAATAAATATTAAAAAAAATTTATAATAAATTATTTTTCTAAAAAAATTTTATATATTATAATTTAATGTAAAAAGTAGTAACAAAATTAAAATACATAATATTTATAATTAATGAATAAATTATTTATTCTTTATTATATTGAATTGTTTATTTTTTAATTTAAAGTATTTTTTTTTTATATACTAATATTTTATTTAAAATAATAAATATTTTAATTTTTTTAAAAATAATATTCATAATTATTAAAATTTTTTAATTTTTAATTTTAAAATTATTTAAATATATATTGAGTATTAAATAAAGTCAATTAAATGTGTATATTATGTGCTATACTAATTTTTATAACTGATATTTCGAAATAATTTGTTATTATTATATTTTAAGCTTTTTTAAAAAATTCTTATTATCAGTATATTTTTAATAAATTAAATTGTATTATTTTTAATTTTAAATATTAAAAAATAATAAAGTAATTTTTATTTTTTTAAATTATTTACTCTTAAATATTTTTACTATTAATTAAAATTATAGTTATTATTTTAAATAATTTAGAAAATAATAATAATATTTATAATTTTTTTTTTTTTTACATTTTAATAAAAAAATTTAGAAATAATAATCATAAAAATTATATATTAGTAATGTTAATAATAACATTTCAAACATCAATAAGAATAATAGGCTTATTTTATAATATAAATTATCAAAATTTATATTTTCATATTTTCCATTATAAATTTTTTTTATTTTTTTTTGAATTTAGAACAATTTTAGGCTGTTTTCTTTTATTTTCACTACAATTTTTTTTTTTTTTTATTTCATTTTATTTTTATTAAGTTTTAATTAAAAATAGTATATTTTTTATTTTAATTAGTTATTTTTCTTCTGTTAAAAAATAATTATGTAAACTTTATTTGATTTAAAAAAAATTATATAAATAGTATTACATATAATATATGTAAATATAATAATTTTGATTTATTTTTTATTAAAAATAAAAAAAATGTTTTTTTTAGAATTTAATTGTATGTAAATATATAATTAAAAGCTTAATAGTTTTATAATATTCAAATGCATAAAATTTCTAAATTAATGTTTTAAATCGAATTATATAAATATTTGATGGTTATTATGTAAAAATTATAGATATTTATTTATTGATAATCAGATAAAATGAATCTAGTCGATATTGTTTAGGTAAATTATAATATACAAAAATATTTATATTTTAAAATTAAAGATATATCTGATACATTTTTATTTACCTGATTTATATATAATGAAATATAGTAATAGAATATTAACAAAGAAAGTTTATTTTAGTATAAAATATATTAATAGTTATTTTTAAATTAGATGAAGTTAAAAATATATATTAAAAATAATTTTTTAAATTAAAGATTATATTTTTAAGTAATTTTAAAACAAAACAATAATTATATAATCTGAAAAATACTTTGAAAAAATCAATAAATAACTTAGAGAACTCAGAAATTATTTTTTTATCTCAGAAAATATTAATAAACTTATAATTTGTCCCTTTATAAAAATATTAGAATTTTTTTTAATAAAATAAAAAATATAAATTATATATATACTAAAAATAATTTTTTAAAAAAACAGCATTATCCAAAATCTAAAATGTATAATAATATTTATTTTAATACTTTTATTTATAAAAAAATATAAATTCAAATAGAATATATGAGTGATAATTAAGCATTTGAAATATTCAAAAACTATTGTTATTAAGATAATGATAATTTTGCAATAAACATAATTAAAGCTTTAATAGATGTAATATCATCATCAAAAGGTAGAAAAGAAATAAATTAAAAAAAATATTTTACATAAAATTATAATTAAATATTAAAAAAGAACAAACAATGTAAGGATTAACAAGGACGATAAAAAGCTCAGCCGAACAAATAGTTGAATAATCAGAGTAAATGGGCATATTAGGATAAAAATCTAATTTATTTTTAAAAGTAAAATCTAAAAAGATATTAATTTTTTATTTAAAAAATAAGTCAATGGCAAATATATTTCAACATTATATAAACAGAGGACTATAATTTTATGAAGGTGACAATATGTAAGAATTAAAATAAAACTTAAATAAGGTAGCAAAAGAGTTACTTGAAATAGCGTCAAAATCACGAGAGAAAATAATAAATAATGTAATGGAGTTTTTGAGAAATGATATAACAATTTTAATTTATGGAAATTCTACGGTTGTTTCTGATTCGTTGGTATCTGGAGCTCAAAAAGGAATAAAATTTTCATGTATTATTTGTGAAACTCGACCTCATGGTGATGGGTACATTTATAATTTAGATTATTATTTAAAAAAAATATAAAAATAGGTAAACAATTTATAATAAACTTACTTAAAACAATATTCCGTGCAAAATTATATATGATTCTGCGCTTGCTTTGGGTATTGAACAATCAAATTTGGTTTTAGTAGGTGCTGAAGCTGTTGTTGAAAACGGAGGAATTATAAATAGAGTTTTTTTAATTTTATATTTAATTTAATTTTTTATTTATATTTATCTAAAGATTGGTACATATACAACTGCTTTGGCTGCAAAATCATTAAATAAGCCTTTTTATGTTTTAGCAGAAAGCTTTAAATTTGCTAGAATGTTTCCCTTATGTTAAAATGATTTGCCTAATAATATAAAAAAAATAGTGCGATTTAATTGTTATGATTAAAATGGAAATTAATAAAACGCATAGGTTTTTATATAACTATAAATATTTAATTTTAAATAAAAAAGATTGAATCTCCAAATTGGGATTATACACCTCCGAATTTAATAACATTATTATTTACTGATGTAGGTATTTTTACACCTGCAGCAGTCTCAGATGAATTAATATAAATATTCAGCAATTGAAAAAAAAGAAATACACAAAAATTATATATTAATTTTAAATATAAAATCAAAAAAATATTATTTTCTAAATTTTTAAATAATTTTATCTTATTCTTAAGAATTATAATAATTTTATTCATTTTATCAAATATTTTATTAAAATTATTTTTTATATTATTGATCTAAATTATTTTAATTTTGTATTTATTGTTTTCGCTTATTGTATACAGAGAGAAAATTATATATACATTTAAATGAAAAAAAGTTGTATTTTTAAAGCAATTCATTTACCACATCTGAAATAAGAATATTTTTTTATTTATCTTTCTTGTTTTCATAAAACTCTATTATCTAACTTTGATGAAACAAACCTATTTTTATATTTTTTTAAGCCTTAAAATAATTAAAGTGTAACATTTTTTATCGATAAATTATTTTTCTTTATTTATTTGTTTTTATTAACACTATTTTTTTTTTTTTTAGTTCTTAAAAGTTTTTTCTGGACAAATTGATAAAATTTTGCAAATTTGACATTATTTGTTTTTATATTTTTTATTAAATTTGATTTAAAGTTTATTCTTTTATTAATTTTTAATTTTTTGGAGTTTCTTCTTTTTTAGAATCTTCTTAAAATTCTTCTTTTTCATTTTCTTAATCACATTTATTTTAAATTTATTATTAATTTTTTTAACAAGTATATTAATAATAAATGCAAGGGACTTCTTATTAAAATTTTGATGAATATTCTTATGAGATTTATTAACTTTAAGAATCACTTTAAATTATTTATTATATAATTTCATCATCGTTATTTTAATGAAGTTTATTTTTGAAATTTGATTTTTAAATATTACTAGAATTTTCAAATAAAAAGGAATCTTAAAATTATTAATTTGAACTTATTATAAAGTCTTTGTTTTAATGTTAAAAAATATCATGTATTGAAGATTTTCTACTATTATTATTATTACTTATATCTAAAAACTATTAATTTGTTTAGTTATATTTATTTATTAAATAATTTTTTATTTTTACATCTTATTGTTAATTCATTTATTTTAGTTAAATTAAATTGAAATAAGTATCTACTATATGGGTTAAAGTATCTTTCGTTATTTGAAGGTTATTTAATAAAAATATATTGTTTTAATTTTATTTTATGATTTTAGACTATTTTTTTAAATAAAAATCTATTTAATTTTTTAATGTTGTCAAAGTATTTTAAGTTTCTTCCATTTTTTTTAGCAAGTTAATTTATTAATTATTTTTTAGAATTTAAAATTTGATAAATTTATAATTAAAAATATTAAAGATATAAATTATTAAAAAGAAATTAATAAAGTGCTATTTATTAATTATATTTATTCTAATAACTAATATTAATTTTCAATTTTAATTTTGATATAAAGTATATTTTGTACATCATAATATCAAATAAATAATTATTTTTAAAGAAATTATAAATTTTAATTTAAAATATATAAATAAAAACATAGAATATTGTAATTTTCTTAAAAAAAGTGTAAATAAGTATTAATATTAAAATATGGGTAAATATGACTATACTAGATTATAACATATATTTTAACCTTTTTTTTGTTTAATTTTTTCGGTTTGCTTTATTTCTAAATTTTCTTTTTTTATTATAGTTATATTTTAATGCTCAAAATTTATATTTTTTTCTATTTTATTGTAAAAAGATTATTACTTGCATAATTGATTTTTTTTAGTACGAAATATTTAAAAAAATAAACAGCATATAATTTTTTTATATATTTATTTATAAAATTAATAATTTTACAAACCCACATTTAAAATCTGTTAAATAATAAATTAGATAAAGAACAGATAAGTAAAAATTTTAAGGCTTCCAAATTTTTAGTTTGTTTAATTTCTAGAATAAGGCATTTCTTTGGATTATTATATTATTAATAAACTAAAATAAATATTAATTAATTAATAAAAAAATCAAATATATATATTTTTTTTTTAATATTAAAAAAAAATTAATTTAATTTAATTTTTTTTTATTTAATTAACTTTAAATCATGATGTTATTTATTATTATCTATTTTTTTTTTCTGAATAAACTAATTTATAAATAAATAAATAAACAATTATAAAAACTTATCGAGTTACATAAAAATAGTCAAACGAAGTAATTTTTTCTCAGACTACAAAGTAAATAGATTTTCTCATCTTTGGAAATCAATAAAAAAAATGCATTAGTGTAAAAATTATTATAATATAAATTAACAAACTATTTAAAACAATTATATTTACTTGCAATATGTTTGATAATGAATGATTTACTAGCAATATATTTGATGATGGATTTAGTGTAGAATAAATAATTATTGCTTTTTTAATACCTAAAAAAAGTGTTTTTAGTAAGAGAGTAATTAGGTAAGTATTAACGTGTAGGTTTAGGCTTATATGATAAAAGTAAAAAATGTTCATCTGATATTTTGTAATGAATTTAGAAAAATTAATGTTTTTAAATATTTATTAATAATTGTGGTAAATAACTAATGCTGAATATTATGTTTATATAATTAGATTTATCTGAAATATCTTATAAACCTGATTTAGATATTGAATTTTCTAAAGAATAAAAATATGATTACCTTCTTGAAATTTTACCAATATTAAAAAATAATTAAATCCCAATCATTAAATCATTATAGATGAAACCGGTATTGGTTTTAATTTAAAATAAAATTATGCTTGGTCAGTTGTCAAATAAATAATATGCGTAAAAGAAAAAAATAGTTAGAATTAACTCACAGTATATATTATTATAAAGGGCTATTTAAACTAATGTATATTTTTTAGTTTTATTTCAACTATTTTTAATAAATTAGGTGAATTTGAAAGCAATTATAAATACATTTACATATTGGATTAAGCATCTATACATTTAAGTAAATAAATTAAAGATATTTTTTTTTATAAAGTTTTTATGTCTTTTAACACCTAAATATATTCCTTAATTTATTCTGTGGGTATTATTAAAGAAGAATTTATTATGCTTTTTAATAAATATAGTGAGATTATTTTAGGGGGGAGGGGGGTTAAAAACACTATAAAATATTTTGAAAAAGTTTTAAACTTTGAAAATTTTGACGATTATTAGAATTAAAAATAAATAAAAAAATACAAAAATAAATACAAAAATATATACACTTTAGGTTTTTATATAAAAATTAAATGCTATAAATAAAATAATAATTAAAATTATTAATAAAATATTAAAAAATTAATAAGAATTTAATATATAATTGAAAAAAGAGATTCGAATAAATAATATCTTTTAAGTATAAGCTTTAATGTTTAGATGCTTTACCTAAAATAAAATAGTTTTTTTACCTTTTTCATTTATTTTATAATTTTTAATTGATTTGTAGATAAGACCAACAAATTATAACTCTTAGCAATAACTTTAAAAAGAAATGCCATAAAAGTCCTTTTTAATTAATTGTAGCTAGTAATACATAATTATTGCTTTTTGTTATTATTAACTGAAACAGGAAAATATTCTTTTTTCGATTAAACATAATAACTATCCATATTTAAATTAAATGAAAATCATTCTAAGAAAATAATATATACATGCCTTAAATAATTAAATTTACTAATATTTTCGAAACATGAACTGCTTTTTCTTTTTATGGTTTCTTTTAAATGTTTAGGAAACTATTTTTTTCTTTTATTTTTAGTTATTTACTTTACAAATATAAATAGTTGATACTTTTAAATATGTAGAAGATATATTAAAACTATTTTAAAATCTGATGTTAATTCTAATAAATTTTTTTGTTAAAATTATCTTCTTTATAAATTATTAATGAATAAAATTAATATGCTTTTCTTTTTTAAAGCAAAATATTTTCTGTTTTATTATATTATATAATTGCACTCATCAAGTTTTATATTTTACTATTATAAATTTGCAATTTTGAAATATCTGAATATTTTTTCATACCATTTTATCACATTTAAATAATTTACTTAAATTTAAATTGTTTTTTAGATTTATTATTATAACTCAAAAAGCTTATTTTTTTTCTTATTTTTTATGTTTTTACTTAAATTAAAATATCATCATCTGCATATGGTTATAGTAAAATATTTCTATAGTTTTTTATGATTAAAATCATTTTTAAAGTTTTGATTAGATATTTTGAAATAGTTGTATTGTTTATTAGAATTAATATTTTAAGACATTATTGTATATTATTATAATATAAACTAATACTCATTAATTAGGATGAATTTATTTTGAATAATTATATATATGTTATTTTTGTATATTTTATTTAAAATCTTATTTTTTTATTAGTTATTGATATTTTAATATTGAAAAAAAAAATTCTAATTCAAAAGAAAGAAATGCTAATAAGGAATATTTTACTTTATGTGGTGGATACATCTGTCTAAATCATTTTTTCCGTAATTTTAAAATAAAATATCGTATAACCTAAAAATTAAACGATACTATTATAATGATGTCAAAACTTAAAGTAAAAAATTGTATGTAAAGTTTAATTTTTAGATGAAATTATTTAATATTAATATTTTCACAATTTTTTTTGTTATAAAATAACATAAACAGTCAAAATTTTGTATATATATATAAAAAAAGTCTATTCATTTTTTTACTTGTTTTTTATATTTTTTCTGTATTTTTTAAAAAATACTAAATCAGAAAAAATAAATGCGAGAAAAATGGATAATGACCCTTTTTTATTGATTTTTTTTTAAAAAAAAATCTATAAATAAGTGATATAAATCTGTATATCTAAGGTTTTTTCTAATAAAATAATTTATTTTAGTTTTTAATAAAAAATATTTTTTTTCTTTTATTTTTTATTATTAAAGCTTATTCAAATACTTTTATTTTATATATTTATAATTATCTTTAAAAAAATATAATAATTTTTTTTTTATATTAAATGTTTTTAATAATCTTAATTATATTATATCATAAAATATTTTTATTATAAATAATATTTCTATATTGTATTTATTTCATATTAAAATATTTTTTTTGTTGATATTTTTTTCTAAAAAATAAAATATCAATAAATAATATTTTAAAATGAAAAAAATAAGCAATATTTTAATTTAATCATAAAAATTTATAAAATATATAATTAGTCGATTAGTTGATATAGCCTGAAGGTTTCAAACAAAATTTATGTTTTTTAAACGAATAAATAATAGAAATTTGTTATTTTATAAAATAGATATTAAAAAAATTAAAAAAAAACATTAGGAATAATGAGCCTTTAAAAATTCTTTAAAAAATAATTTACTTTAAGTAAAATGAATATACGAAAATTAAGTTTTTTTAAGAAAAAATCTTGTAAATATAATATAATTAAAACGTTAAATAGAAAAATGAGAGAAATCTTTAAATTGAATAAAAATATATTTAGTTCATTAAATTTAATAAATAAAAAAAATTATAAAAATGTGAAAATAATTAACATATTTGTATATAATTTTTTAAATAAATATATTGTTAATATAATAAATAAAAGTAAAGTTTTTTTTAATTTATTTTTATAAAAAAAAAAATAAGGACAAAATTTTAATATATAGTCTATTTTTTAGAATAAAGGTGTGTACTTGAATAATAATATATTACTTATTCATATAGTTTATTATTTTTTTAAATACACAATTAAATATAAAAAAGATTTTAATTAAAAGTTTACAAATTTTAAAATTTATCATGTATTACCAAATTATAAGCATCATTCAATTATTTGGTAATACAAAAAAAATATAATAAAAAAAATATTTACAACATTCCTTATTTTATGAATCAGATTTTAAAATAAAATATAAAATAAAAAATAAAATACATAAATAAAAAATATATAAAATTTATAAATTAATTAACTTATAGCCTAATTAATAACTTTTTTAAGATTAATAAAATCTTTAAAAAAAAATTAAAAATATTATTAATATAATAAATTTATTTAAGTTAAAAATAATTAAAGAAAGTTAAAATGTAATATATATATATATATATATATTTATATATATATTTATATTTATATATATCATTATATTTCCTAACTAAAAAAATTTTAAAATATATCTTTATTAATAAGATATAAATAATTTAAATAAAAATAAAATTATTTAATTTATACTTTAAAAAAAGAAAAAGGTTTTGTATATATTTATACATTTTTATATTTAATTTTAATTAATAAAATAATATAAAAAGAATTACAAATTATAGTTTTTGAAAATAAAAAGTTAAAAATATTTACTTTATTAAATGATTAATAGCTTTATTTTTATAAAAAATGTTTTTTAAACTCATTTTTTTAATTAATTTAATAATTATTATGTTTTCTTCATTCTCTTAATTAAACCTTATGTTTTTAATATATAAAAAGTTGCTAATGAAAAAGTTTTTCTAATAAACTTTATTTTTTCTTCTTCATTTATTTAAAACTTTCCTTCATTTAAGTTTTTTTTATTTTATTCTTATTGAATTCTATATTTTAACAAATATAATAATAATAAATACAAAATTAATTAATTTAAATTAATTATAAAGATACTTTAAATCTTAATTTTATTCCATCATAGTTTATAATTTGTCTGTATACATTTATTCAAAATTATATTTTAAGTTAATTATATCAGAAAAAACTAATGTTTTATCGTAATTTTGGGTTTTATTTATATTTTAAATATTTTCTTAATTTTATTAATCTTATTCAATATCTTCATCACATTCTCCTTCTATTTCAACAATTTTTATTTGATTTTTTTTTACATTTTTAATAAAAAATATAATTATATTAATAATAAAGAAATTATTATATAAAAAAATAATAGATTTATTTTTATGATTTAACTAAAAAAATGGAAACATTTTATTAAATAATATTAAAATAACCAATAAATAAATGAATTTTAATCAAATTATCATTTAAACAAAAGTAATAAAAATATAAAAAATAAATATTTAAAAATTATTAAATTTATTTTATAAATTTTCTAATTTTATTAAATTATGTTTTTAGATTAATTGTAAAATTATTAAATATTATACTAATTTAATAATATATATATTTAGATAAATAAGTTATAATATGAAATTTACTATTAATTAAAAAAAAATTAATATATAATTAATAAATAAATAAGATAAATATATAATAAATTTTTTTATAATAGTGTATATATATTATATAAAATATTTTGGATATTATTTATTGAAAAGTAATTAAATTTATTTAATAATATTATTTATATTATTTTACTTTATGATGTAATTTATTATATTTATATCTAAAAAGTATTTTTATTAAAGAAAATATCTCAAATAATAAAATTAAAAATATAAAATAAATTAATATATTTTTTTTTAAAATATATAAATGCCAGCTGTTCAATCAAAAATATAAAATAGCTTATAAAATTTACTATCATTACTTTAGAAAAATAAAAAAAAAAGCGTAAAACTAAATAAAATTACTCATTTTTCTATCAATTAAAAATAAATATAAAATATAAATTGTTTAAAAAATCACTAAATAATTAGGCAATTATATTATGCATAATCATAATTCTTTTAAAATTAATAAAAAGAAAAAAGCAAAGTTAAAACATATCTTAATAGCATAAAGTAAAAATAAACACAATAAGCACAATAAAAACACTTAAAAATAGGGAAAAGGAAATGTAGATTTAATATTTTTTTAAAGAATAATAAAATTATTAAAAATAGTAATACCATCCTGGAAATGTGATATAAGTTTAGATTTATTTATTCTGACATTATTTTTAGTAATGCGAACATACTTATCAATATGGGTAGCTGGTGTTTAAGGTCGGATAGTGAAATCCATAATAAAATTATAGTTGAGTTAATTTTTTAAAAGAGTAATAATATATTTAATATATATATATATATATATATATATATATATATATATATATATATATATATTTGTATAAATAAAGATATTTGAATTAGGAATAATAGCAATTCCAGCATCATTTGTGAACTCATCGTTAGATTATTTCTACTAGAAATTAAATATATAATTTCGTACTAGATTAACAAACCATTTTTCGAATATATATTATAAAGATATGATATTTTACTAATTAACAAACTTAGATAATCGTGTAGAAAATCCAGATTAGAGATTAACTAGTGATATAGAAAAATGGTCTAATTCATTATCTATGATATATTTAAATGTAACAAAACCAATAATAGATATAATTTTATTTTCTAAAAAACTCTCTGAAATATTAGGAGCTATAGGACCTTTAAGCATAATGGGTTGGTATTTAGTTTCTGGAATAATTATAAAGTATATTTCTCCTTCTTTCGGCAAATATACATCTTAAAGTCAAAAACTATAAGGTGAATATCGCTCAGTTTAAACAAATATAACACACCATAGTGAAGAAATAGCGTTTTATAAAGGTTAAAATTGGGAAAAAGAACGTATTTTATAAAGTTTTTAAAAATTAATATCCCATAACACAATGATAATGCACAAAAGGCTTTATATGGGTATTGCGGATAGTTTATTAGTCAAATACGGGGCTGTAATTTTAGGATACGCTGTTTTAGGATTGCCTGTATTTGGTCCAGATTCGGTATAATATTTAAAAAAAATATAAAGCAATCCATCAAATATTACTAAAGACTATGTAAGAAATTCATCTCTTTTGATTAATTTAGCAAAAGCTATTGGCCGTTTGGTGATTTCTTATAAGGAAATTTAAACTTTAGCTGGATATACGAGTGTAGTTTATGAAATTTCATCAGCTTTAGAAGATTTAGATAATGGAAAATATTAAAGAATTTTAGTTTAAGGAAGTTAGGATTTAGGAGGCTATAATTATTTGAGTGGAGATAGTATGATTTAATTTTAATAAGGAGAAGTTTAGATAAGTGAAAATTATATAGAATTAAAATAAGTTCCAATTATTACGCCTAATGGAGATAGGCTAGTAAAGCCAATGAATATTAAGATTGAAAGTGGAATGAATGTAGTAATTTCGGGACCTAATGGATGCGGAAAATCTTCTCTTTTTAGAATTTTAGGAGGTTTGTGGCCCATTTTTAATGGAGTTTTGGTTAGACCCGATATGGATAAGCTGTTTTATATTCCATAGAGACCGTATCTTCCTAAAGGAAGTCTTAGAGATTAGATTATATATCCCCATAATAAGCTGTAAATGTTAAGAAAAAAAGTAAAGGATAATGATATCCTTAAACTTTTGGAAGTTGTTTAACTTTCATATATTGCAGATAAAGAAGGAGGAATTAATAGAGTTGAAGATTGGTAATCTATTTTGGCTGGAGGAGAAAAATAAAGAATTGCGATGGCTAGATTATTTTATCATAATCCACTTTTTGCTATTTTAGATGAATGTACTTCAGCGGTTAGCCTTGATATTGAGGCTTTACTTTATGGTTATTGTAAATAGTTAGGAATTACACTTTTTACAGTTAGCCATAGATTGTCTCTTTTTAAATATCATGATTATATCCTTAGATTTGATGGAAAAGGAGAATGGAAATTCGAATAGTTTGTAAAAGAAGGAAATCATTCGATTAGTTTTGATATTAATTGATAATTTTTTTAAATTATAAATTGAGTTTTAGGATTGTATTTTTTTAATTTATTATTTTAAAAATATTTTTTTATTTATATCGTGTTTTTTATATATTTTTGAAAATTATTATTTTTAAAACAAATCAAATTTGTTTTATAAATAAATAAATTTAATATTATTTTATTAAAAAATTATAAAATTTATAATTTAAATAAATGATTAATTACAATTGCTAGGATTTTATTTAATATATCAATGATCATTCTTTTTTGTTTAATAATAACAAAAAGCAAATAAATTTGACTTTAAAGCCTTAAATAACATTAAATCAATAATTCTAATTTATTAGGTAAATAATAAATAATACATTTTTTAAAAATAATAATTTATTTATTAAAAATAATCAGTTTTAAATAAAATAAATGATAATTATTTTGTTTATTATAATTGATATATATTTCGAATTTTATAAAATTAGATTAAGTATAAATTTATAAATATATTTAACTGATTTATTATAATCATCTGATGACTTTATTTAATATTAGTTTATTAGTTTACAGATTTTATACTTAACATATAAATAATTTTAATATTATTTTCTTTTAAAAATTATATAAAACTTTATAAAAAAAAAATATAGCCAACCTTTCAAAAATAAATCTCTCTATTTTGTTAAAAAATATATATGAGATGATTTTATATTTCGATTTATTGATATATAAGAATAATATTATTTTTTTATTTGATAGTTTTGCTTTTATAATTTGTATTTTAAATTTGCAAAATATAGTTTTATTTTGAAATAAATCAAAATAAAATATGCATTTTCATTAGGATTAAAATATATATTTTACTATTAGATCTATTTTTATTAAATTAAAATAGAATAAACATCAAAAAAATAATATAATAAATAAGAATATTTTTTGTATAAATTTTACCATTTAATACATATTTTTATATGCTACTTATTTTTATTTTTAATAAAAAAATCAACGCTACTCACCTTAAAAATATATAAAATTATAATTTATTTTAATAAAAATAATATATGTTTTTATAAAAGAATAAAAAAATATAATAACTATACATTTATCATTTAAATAAATAAATTATTAATAAAAGTTTATTGAGGATAATAATATTTAATTTATAATTATTTTTATTTTATCTTTGTTAAAATTACAAATAAAGCAATATATAAATTTCATTTGAAAAAAAAAACAAAATTTTTAAATATGAAAGTGTTCAAATTTTATCTTTTATTAGAATATTATTTGATTGTTTAGTTTAAAAAAATTAACTTCTTAAGTTTTAAGAATGTAAAAGTTGTGATATATATGAATAATAATTAATAAAGCTTGAATCTGAAATAAGATAACATATAAGGGTTTTTTTTTATTTTATTTTTTTAATTTTTTTATAATTAGAAAAAAAAATTAAATTTTTTACTTATTAATTAGATATAATTATAATTAAAACAGAATTTATAAAATAATTTTTTAGAATTTGAATAATAAAAAGAAAAAATTAGGAAAACTTTACAATAAAAATAGATGAGAATAAAAAATCAAGCAAAAAACTGGAAGAAAAGAAAAGGAAATTTTAAGAATAAATAAAATAAAAAGATATAGAAAACATATTAAAATCACTATAATAAAATTTTTAATTTTTAGATATAAAATTATAAAAATAACAAAATAATGAAAATAAATGTATTTAAATTTTAGAAACAAATAAATTAAAATTTAAAACAACACGATGAAATTTCCTAAAATAATGAAAATTTTTTAAAATATATTAATAAAAAAATAGTAAAAAAATAATATTTTATTTTTTTGTTTTTAATTGTTTTAAAAAGAATGTACTAATAAAGATTTTGTTTTATTATAAGAAAGAAAAAGATAAAATACTAAATTTAAATAAATCTAAAAAAAAATTAAATATATAATAACTTTAAAAGTTTTGATTTTATAAATAAAAAAATACTAAAACCTAATTCTAATTATGTTAACTAAATTTAAAATACATCTTATGCTTATAAATCAAAGTTATTTTCAAAACAATATTGAAAAACATTTAAATAAACAGATATAAATAATAATAATTAATTTTCTTTTAAGAGCTCAAATTATATATAATAAAATAATTTAGATTTCAGTATGAATATTAAAATGAAAAAATCTTCAAAAAAGTTAAATGAATTTGTAAATTCCTTTAAATTAAATTAAGTATTTATTGTTAATTTTTTAAGTTTATACTTATTTTTAATATGATAATATATATAAAAATAGCAATAATAAAGGAAGTTAATCTTTGGATAGAAATAACTCTTTTAAAATTATAAAACGAAAATACAATAAACAATTGTTAGTTATTAAATTAAAATTAAATCTGTAATAATCCATATTTTTTTTATTAATAATTATTTAAGTTAAATAATATAAATTAAAAATAAATAAAATAATATATATTTAAAAAAGAAAATAAAAAAATATAATATAATAGGGAAAAAAAAAATATTAAAATAAAAAAAAATGGTTTGGAAAATATTGTCAAAATTAAACAAAAAATCTATATAAAATTCTGGTTTAGATCATCAAAAATATTAAAAATTGCCATTTTCGTAAGACTTCAATAATCTTGCTAAAGCATATGATTTGAGATTATGGTATATTGCCAATTCTCCCCATGAAGATAAAAACCTTGAATATGTTGTTTAAGCAGAATAGTTACATAATGAATTAAATTATTAAAATTCTAGATGTTATTTTTTTTTTAAAAAAAATATAATATAATAATAATATTAATATTTATATTTAAAAAAGAATTTTTATTTAGAACTGCTGCATTTTTATTAGGAATAGAATTATTTTATATGTTTTATGATATGCCGAAAAATTATGACTGGTATAAAATATATATTAAAAGAACTCATATATAAATATAATTACATTTTATTTTTTTTAAAAAGGTAAGATTATCATGAACCTAAACATAACATCTAAATTTACGGCGACTTAGAAGAAGGTGGTGATGAAGGTGGTGATGACGATTGAAAATATTTTATAATTCTTTTATTTTTTAAATAATAATAAAAACTACAAAAAATTTTTATTATTTTTATTAATTAAATCAAATTAAAATAAAATTAATTTTTTTTCAGATTCATTAAATATTATAAATATTATTTTAGTATTATATGATTATTTTTATTATAAAAGAAATCTAAATAGCATATAAATATATATTTTTATATAATACATCAACACTTTGTAGATTATATTAAAAAATAGTTTTATTTAAATTTATTACTTTTAATTTAAAACAATCTATAAATTTACTATGTGACCCTTTGATTTTGTTTGATAATTTTGTTTTGACTAATTGGTACAAAAATAATTTAATTTAATATATTACTAGTGTTTTATTATTTGTTTTAAAATAAAAATATTTTATAATAATAAACGATAAAATAGAAATAGATATTTATCTATAAATAATTATCAAATTTTATTACTATAAAGTAATTTATTTTACAAATATAACATCAATTTTATAAACTATTATTATTAACTTTAATTCAAAAAAAATTTAAATTCAAAAACTTATTTGATAATTCAATAAATATATTTAATTATAAAAAAAAAAATAACAATATAATTATATAAAATAGAAAAATAAACTGAAGCATAAATAAAATAAAAATTAAAAAAAAATAACATTAAAATGGGATGTAATTTATGTTCGCCAAAAATAGAAGTTTTAAAAAATTATATTGTATATTTTTTTTTTGAAAATTAATAAATAAAGCTTTCCCCAGAAATGGCTAAAAAAATAATGGGAGTATTTAATAAAATGGATGGAGATGGTTCAAAATGTATAGATAAAGTAGAAACATTAAAATATTGGTTATAAAAATTATATATTAATTCAATAAATATATAAAATTCATATGAATCTTCTAAGAAAATATAAATTTATATCAAAATTATTAAATTTCATATTACAAAACATAGATATATTTATAAAAATATTTTATATAGATACTAAGCAATTCTTAAATAATTTTGATATTACATTTAAATATTTACTTAATGATTCATTAAATATTATATTCAGATTTTAATATATAAATTATAAAAAAACAATAAAAAAAAATTATAAATTTAAATATAGGAAATCTAATTTTGCAAAAGTGAATACCGATGCATTATTCAAAGCTGTTGATATAGATAATAGCGGAACAATAACACAAGATGAATGGATGGAGTTTTGGCATGATGTAAAAAGACAAGGATATTCTGAAGAAGAAATAGAAGAAGAGGTAAATATATTACTTTTAACACTACGTTTTTATAATTAAATATAATTTTAGATTGAAAATTTACTAGAAGGTTTTTCATGGGTTCACTTTGATAAAAAACGTTGATAAATTTTTCTTTCTGAAATATTAAATATAAATATAACTATAAACATAAACATAAATACATATATATAAATATTTTCTGAAATTTGTAAAAGACATAAATAAAAATAATTAATTAATAAAGATATTCATTTAATCCTCTGATTCCATATAATATGTTATTAACTTAATAATATTTAATTTTAGTTCTTAAAAAAATGTGAAAACTATTGTATTTTTACAAAATTCCTCTTTTTATAACTTAGGATTAATAATTTATTTAAATTACAAAATTTGAATTTTTATTATATATTTTTTCTTTTTAAAAATGATTTTTTTATTTAAAAAGATAATAATTAAATTTATAAAATAATTTTTATAAATTATCATTATTTTTTGAATAAATCACATAAAACGCACATCCTTTGACACATATATTTTTCTATTATTATTATTAATATTATTATGCTATAATTATTACAATTAATTATTTTTTCTTTAAATTAGAGCTTTTTTAATTTATTTACAATATTATTTTAATTTATTTATTCTATTTTCAGATAATATTCTATATGAATTCTCTAGATTTTATGTAATAATACTAAATTAGTTTTTTTGTAATGTACTTTATCTTATATATTTCGATTAACCTTATTTATTTTTTTATTTATATTTAATTTAATAAAAATATGGAAACTCTTTCTAATTCTTTTTATAGGCTTAATATTTAATTTTTTATTCTTATCCTATAACATTTAAAATTAAATCTTAATTGTTATAAGAACTTTAACTTTCTTAAACACTACTTTCAGTTTACAAAGTTTTATTTTTCTTCATTTATGGATATATGAGGTCTACTTTATTCTCTGCATGAAATCTACATATTATTTATAAATAACGCTCTTTGATTCTTTTTTTATTGTTTTTTTAGTTTGTTGTCTTATAAAATTGCTTAGCTTTTATCATATTCATTTTTTTATAAAGTCTTCTTTTTCAAGTAAACCTGAATAAAAATTTTTAACTTTTATTTTTTCATAATCTTAGATAAGCCAAACTTTTTTATAAAACAGTGAAATTATTTAAATTTACAAACAAGTTATAAATTTATATATAACTTTTTATTTTGAAATAATTTACTTATGTTTTTTTTATTTTGATTTCTTTTATATATAAAAACAAAAATAAAATTATTTTTATACAAATAAGTAAAAAAAATTATTAAACAATAAGCATAAAAGACTTTTAGTTTTCTTAATATATAAAAATAGATTAAATATATACCCATGTAGCAATATGACTCTACTCTCAACAAATTAGTTTCTAAAATAAATTAATCATCGGCTATAATTTTATTTTTATCCTTATATATTTATCATAATCCTCCGGATTTTATTTAAGGACATTTAAAAAATAATCTTTAGTGATTTTATGCATTAAATTTAAGTTTATACATTGGATAGAAGTATTACGAGGTATTTCTGTAAAAAAGGAAAGATCGATCTCCAAAAGATGTATTATTTGAAAGTTAAATTAAAGTTTTTTTACATTGTAACTTTTTAAAATGATAGACATCTAGTTTTCCTTTACAAATTAAATGAACTCTTACAATAGAGTCTTTGGAATAAAAAGCTGTATTTAAATTAATGAGAAAATAAAAATAAAAGAAGCAAAAGCCTATTTAAAAATAAGTGAATTAGAAAAAATAAAATGATTAGCAAAACAAAAATTAAATTAGAAAAAAAAGAATTTAAAAAAAACTACTTAAAAAATAATAAAAAAAGCATCTCATAATAGAATATATGTATATAAAGAATAAAAACAATTATTTATTATAATTAAATATTAATAAATATAAAAAGGTATAAATTTTATTAAAATAAAGATATAAGCCAAATTTTTATTGTTTTTAATTAAACAAGTTTTATATCCAATAAAATGCTGATATTTTTTATTTATTTCTTTAAATTTTAACTATAAAATTAGTTTTAATTTTTTTATGAAGTTATTTTTGATATATTAATATTTAAATTGTATTTTCCTCCTAAAATTATTATTATTAATTATTATGTATGTTTTTCTAATATTTCTATTTTACTTACATTTTCAAATATATTTACAATTAGATGGAATTATTTTAAACACTTTTATAAAATATCTTTGAAAAATAAATAAAAAAAACGATATATTATAAAAGTTTTGACATTAGCACATTTTTTACAATAAATTACATTAAAGTATTTTTCACAATAGTTAATTTCTCAAGATATTTTGAATCAATTTAAAAATTATAATGTCATGAGAATTCAATGCTTGTAAAATAAATATGCACCAGCGCAATTTTATAAACAAAAATAATTATAATTTTTATTTTTTTAGAAACTAAGCAACTTTAATTTTTCTATTGTATATACTATTTACTCCTATTTTTTCTTTATGAATTTAATTTTATGCATTTTTCATAAGTTTTTTCAAGATCTTCTATGTTTTAGTCACCTTAATGGACGCTAACCAGTAAAAAATTTGAATCGTATATTTATATTTATTTAAGAGAAAGTAAATGTATGATGATTATATGTATAGATATTTAAAAAAATCAAATTTAAGTATTTTATTCAATTTTTTCTGTTAAAATTATTATTTTATTTTTTAATATTTATATTAAACAAAAATAATTCAAAGAATACTAAAGTTTTTAATATATCTTAAAAAATATGAATTATTTTATTATATACATTAATAATTAACTTATTTTGAAATTTATTTTTCTTAAAAATTATTTTTATATATTATTTTTAACTTTAATAAATATTTTTATTATATTAGCATTAAAAAAGTACTATAATTTTTAAACATAAACATCAAAAATAATTTATTTAATTAATATTTTATATTTATATAAAAAATAAGATACAAATTTTATTTAAAATTTATCCGATAAAAATAATATTCAGATAGCTAAATAAATAATGAACTCTTAATAATTAGAAGATTAATAAATTTATTAACCAAATAATGGATAAACTCTTGAATTGAATAATTAAGAAAATATTTAAAATTAAATTTAAGATAATGAAAATAATCAAAATTATTAAGAATAATAAATTAATTAAAATTAATATCACGATGAATAAGAAGAAATAAAAGAATAATAGGAAAATATATAAATTAATTAAGATTTGTAGTAAAATGATGACAATTGTCAATTTACTTCATCTTGTTCATCTTAAGATGAAAGTTAAAATTTATAAGGAAATATATAAAGTGAAATTATAAAAATAGGAGCTTCTTTATAATAATTTATATAAAAAATGGTTTTCTACTACGCTTACTATTCTTTGAGTAAAAAAGCTTTAAACTTTTTAGCAAAAAGAATATTTCATTAAAAAGAAGATATTTTTTATTGGAATATATTTAATTTTATAAAAAAAAATAGATGAAAAAAATATATAAATAAATATATAAATTATATCATTTTATTGCTTGTGTTATATTTAAATATATTATGATACCAAATTTTATTTTTTTCAAGATAATATTTATTTTTTAATACATTTTATTATTTTCTTAATTATAGTTATTTAATAATAATAAGTATTATTTTTAAACATTTATATTATATTAATTAATTTCATTATTTTTATTAATGTTGAATTTAAATTAAAAAAATAAAATAAATGAAAATATATGTTATTTTTTTAAATTATTTTTCCATTTTTTGTTTGTTTGTTTACATTTGTTTTAATTAATACTTTTATTCAAAAAAAGTTAATATCTTTAAAAGTAAAAAATTATAATTATCATAAAAATAGATATGAATAGAATTAGTATAAAGGAAGGAAAAAAAAGGAATAAATATAATATTTAAATGCAGGTATCGAATAAAGTGAAATTAATTTTAAATTATAACAAAAGGTATAATTAAAATTATTATATCATTAATTTAAAAAAAAAACTTTGAAAAATAATTATATAAATAATACATTTTCTTTATAGTCTTTTAAAATAAACTAGTATAATAAATAAAATATATTTATTAATTAATTTATAATTATTGAAAAAATTGGTAAAATAGCTATTTAAAAATATTAGGAATTAAAAATAATAAAAACAATAATATAAATTAAGATTTATGAAATTTTGACGAAAATAATATTTAGTATATTTTTATATAAATTAGTTAAGATAAATGGATAAAGAATTTTTTATTTTTTCGGAGAAAAACTTAAATTAATAAAATAATAAACATATATACATAATATTGTACTTATTTAAAGAATATTTAGAGGATTTTTTTGCAGAAAAATTATTTTTTGACTACAATAATTGAAAAAATTAGTCTTAATTATTGAGAAATGTTTACTTTAATATAGATTAAAATAAATGAAAAATACAAAAATCAGATTCTAATGTTTTGATAATATAAAATAAGTTAAAGTTTTTAATAAAGAAAATATTTTGGCAGAAAGCTAATTTGAATATTTTTCTAAATAGCTCTTTATCTAAAAATATAAATTTATTAACTTAAATATTTAAGAGTTTTTTAAATAATAAGAAGTAAAAAAATTAAGTAGATACCTAAAAAAAATATAAAAGACTTAATAATTAGCTAATTAAATTATATAAAGAAATTTAAAAATTTTATAAAATATATTAGTTTTTTTTTATATATATTTCTATAATATTTTAATATAACTAAATAAATCAGTAAATATAGAAAGGCTAGAAAAAATGGATAAAAGTTTTTTTTTAATATATAATTTTTGAATAAAAATAAATAAAGAAATAATAATAAACATAAAAAAAGTAATATTTTTTAAAATTAAAAATAAAATGGAAAATAAAAATTACCATCAAATAATACTATGATTGAATCGAAATGTCAAAACGAATATTGAAACTTTAATTTTTGGTTAGCAAATAAAAATAAATAATTAAAAAAATTAATAAATATGAATATTAAAAATTTATATATTTTTATTATATTTAAATTTTGTATTTATTTATGTTATATGAATATTTATAATTTTATTTAATTAAATTTAAAAAGATATTATAATAATTTTATATAAATAAAAAAATATAAAAATGAATGTAAAGTAAATTTAATAAGATTTTAAAAAGTAAAAAGATGATATTTTCAAAAATATTTATAGCACGTTAGAAAATATAGCAATTTGTTTAAAATATAGCAATAATCCAGAAGAAGAGTTAATAAAATAGAATTTATTAAGAAATGAAGTATTTTTATTTATAAAGTAAAGTTAAAATTTGTTAAACTTGAATAATTAAATATAAAAATAAAGTAAAATTTATTTAAAAATCAACAAATTGTTTCAATTAATTTTTTTAAAAATAAAAAGTTATTTTAGATGAAAAATCTGATAAGAAAAGTACTGAAAGTTAATTAAAATAAGATGAATTGAAAACAATATTAAAAGAGTTATAATTTATGTATTAATAGGAAAAAAATATAATGTAATAAAATTTTCAATTATTTCAAAATTAATAACCTTAAAATATAAATTAGTAACATCAGCATCATTAATAATAATATATAAATTAATAATAAATATAAAATTAATAAATTCAATAAAATCCTTAATAAATATCTCATTAATAATAATTTGCTTAGTAACAATAAAATTAGTAATTTTTGCCTCAATAGATTTAGTAATAAAACTTAAATCCAAATACTACTAATTATTATTAACCTAATTTTACTAATAATAATTAAAGCTAAATTTAATACTACGCTTCTTAATCTTAGATTTCTTAAATTGTAGATAATTAATAAATATATTAAGGTCCTTAGAATAGAAACTATAACTAAAATAATAATAATGCAAATGATTTTATGGAATATAATAATAGAAGATAATGAAAAATAAATATATTTAATTTTATTTAAATAAGCTTGTTAAAATAAATTAAAGAATTATTATTTTAATTTATATATTGTTTATTTTTAAATTATTAATTTTACACATAAAATAAATAAATAATTATCAATTTTTAATTTTTTTCTTTCATTTAATAATACAACTATAAAAATATTGAATTCATATTTTTTACGAATTAAATATATTTATTTTTTATAGTTACATATATTATATATTTATTTTATTTTTATTTTCATAATATAACATAAAATTATAATACATAAAAACTAATTTATGAAAAAGTTAGAAAAATATATTTTATTTTATAAAATTACAAAAAGTAATAAAAATCGGAATTAAAATGAATTTATTAAAACTTATAAAAAATACTAAAAACTATTTACCATTAAAATCTAAACTTACACACATACCCTAAAATAATATAATTTTACATGAATATTAAGTATTAGATCTTTTTAAAGAATATAAACTTCCTTTATTATCTGTAAAAATTATAATAAAAAAAAATAAAAATAAAAAATAAATAAAAAAAGGCATATCGTGCTACTCATCCAGATGATGCTCTTAAGTTGGCAGAATAATTAGAAAGATAAAGATAACATTAAAAAGGATTGTAAATAAATCAACAATTTACAGATTTTGTTATAAAAGCTTAAGTATCAAAAATATTCAAATAAAAAAAACTCAAAAAAAAATATATATAAAAAAGATTCATGCTGGAGGTCGTGGTAAAGGTTATTTTAAAGAAAATTCATTATAGGGTGGTGTATAATTTGCTTATTCTCCATAAGAAGTATAAAAAATAGCAGAGTAAATGATAGGAAAGACATTAATAACAAAGCAAACAGGATCTAGAGGTCGTATAGTTAATTCTGTATTAATAACAGAGCGAATGTTTCTAAGAAAAGAGATGTATTTTTCTATCAACTTAGATCGTACAAGAGGAGGATGTGTAATAATATGTAATTAAAGAGGAGGAGTTAATATAGAAGAGGGAGATCCTCGTTTTATTAAGACTTATTTTGTGACTTTAGAAAATGAATTAGATGATGATATGGCACAGCAAATAGTAAAAGATTATAACGTAACTTAAGAATGCCATGAATAATTAAAAAACGTTATTAAAGGGTTATACAAATGCTTTAAATAGAATGATGCTACTTTGCTAGAAATAAATCCTTTAGGATTAGATGTTAATAATAAGATTATTATTTGTGATTAGAAAATGAATATTGATGATAATTCAGATTATAGATAACCTAGATTAGCTGCAATGGAGGATATCACATAAAAAGATTGGAAGGAAATCGAAGCATAAAGATATTGTCTTAATTATATTGCTTTAGACGGTAATATCGGATGTATGGTCAATGGAGCTGGTTTAGCAATGGCTACTATGGATATTATTTCACTTAAGGATGGAAAACCTGCTAACTTTTTAGATTGTGGAGGTAAAGCAGATGACTCTTAGGTTGTTTAAGCTTTAAAAATTATGGATAATGATCCTAATGTGGAAAGTATTTTGGTTAATATTTTTGCTGGTATTGTTAGATGTGATGTCATTTGTTTAGGGCTTATAAAAGGAATGGCGCTTTTGGGAATGAAAAAACCTATTGTTTTGAGATTAAAAGGAAACAATTCAGAGGCTGTAAAAATTCATTTTTATTTTTTTATTATTTTTTTTATTTTTTTAAGGCTAAAGAAATTATCTAGAATTCAGGATTTAATGTTATTTATTGTGAAAGTTTGGAAGAAGCAGCTGAAAAGGCTGTTAAAATTGCTTAAATTATTAGAATGGCTAAAGACGCTAGAATTATTATTGAATTGACATCTTGAAGTTATCTATTTAATGAAAAAAAATAAAAATATTTTTTATATTTACTTTTTTATTTTTTTAATAAATATTAATAAACTGATTTGAATTTTTATTTTAAATAATTTTGAAAGAAATACTTATATAAATATATGGATTATTAATTTAAATTTTTTTGATAGAAAACCAATTAAAACTTAATATAGTATTTGACTAGTGTTATTTTATTTAATATTAAAATATATAAAAAATTTTATTTAGAAAATATCATATATAATAATTGATATAATAAAGTACAGATAATTTATTTATTTTTTATAAAAAAAACTTTTAAATTTTGTAAAATAAATCATATTTTTTTTTCTATATTAATAATTTAATTATCATTCTTTACTTTATTTTCTAAGCCATTAAATTTTTTTAAATTTTTAGATTCTGGGAAATATAAATCAAATTTTTTTGCTAAATCCAAGATTTTCACACTCGTTTAAGCTATTTATTTATAATCAATCATCATAGTGTTTAATACAAGTTAAATCTTATGAAAAATAAATAAAAAAATAATAAAAAATATACATTTTAATCTGCTAAGAAAAACTAATTTATTTATTAAACAACTTTAAAAATTATATACAAGATTGCAGCGGCTAAAATTTAATAAGAATTAACTTTTATAAGTTCATAATCAAACAGAACCATTTTTGAAAAATATACACACATTTTATTAACGTAAGAGAATTCTTATTAGGATAGTTTTTCTTAAAAATTTAATAAGGTTAATGTTTAAATTGCTATTTCTTAAATAGAACAACCCAATAAATTAAAATTTAAAGTTAAAAGAACATCTGCTTCCATTTCTTTTATTTATTTTTCATTGAGTTTTTTATGTGAAATTTTCTCTTCAATTATTTTAATTGTTACTGGATAGATTTCTTCAAATTTACAAGAAATAAAAAAGCATGTAACTCCTAATAAATGAATATCATTATTTTCTAAAATCCTTTTTTTTTAAATTAAAAATTATTAATAAAAAAATATTTACCTTAATGTTTTTTCCATATATAAATCCATTAAACGTATTGACATAAAATATGTTTCTTCTGAAAATTTATACGAATAAACAACTTCAATAAGCCAATCCAACATTCTGGCACGAAGAGAAGGTTATATATTATGTTTTGAAAGGCAATTTTTTGGAATATATTTTTACTTTTTTTTATAAAAAGTAAGTTTATTTATTTATTATAATAATAAGTACTTCATAAATACTTAAATGATTGAGAATATCATATAAATAATGTTTTTTTATTTATATTCTGGCAACAAGCATAGATATTGGTTCTTCTTTTTATTTTTATTAGCTAAATTTGTTATTTTTTTTATTTATCTATTAACTTAATAAATTATTTTTTTCTTACAAAGTTTAGTTTTAATAATCTACAAGTTCTTCTAAAAATAAAGAATCTTTTAAAATTTATTATTTTTAATTTAATAATTATCCATTAGAAATTGTATTTTAATAATTATTAATTTAATTAAAATTATATTGTTACTATTATTATAATAACTTATTATTTACTGTTTAAATATCTTAAAGTGAGTTTTTTATTTATTTTTCAGATTCTAATTTTATTTTAGAATTTTTTTAATTTTCTTTTTCTTAAAAATTCATTATGTTCTCCTTTTATATTTTATATTTATCATAATATGTTTGTTTATTGTTATTATCTTCTCTTTATGTATAAAATTAATAATTTTAATTTTGTATTTACTAATGATGTAAACTATTTTATATTGAAATTATATTTTCATATTTTAAATTTTCAAATTTTTATTAATCTTCTATATAATTGTTAAATTATGTATCTTTCCACATTTTATATGTAGGGAATCTAAGAGCATTATTTTTATTTTTTTCTAATTATAAATTTAAATTTTATTATTAAATTATTATTGGATCAGTTTCTACATCTTGCTTACTTAATTCATTTTTTTATTATATTGTATAATTCTTAAAGCTTGGCTTTTTATTTAATTAATTCATATATTGTATTTTATAAATGTCTTTTATTTTTATATGTTTAAAATATATTATTTTTGATTAATTTATTTAATAAATGTTTCTTTTTTTATTTTATTAGGTAACAACTTTTTTATTATTTAAATGGTAATTTTAACGTTAAAATGAAAAAATAATTTTTGATATAAAATTAAAAAGATAAATGTGTTTTAATATTTGTAATTTAAAAATAAAATTCTAAATAATAAAAGCCAAATAATTTAATAATTAAATATATATAATGTTAAGTAATTTTATATTATATAAAATTTTATAACAATTATAATAGTTAATGTCATTAGTTATAAAATAAAAAAAACAGATTACAAATAGAAAAATATTTCAAATTATTAATATTAATCCCTTTATTTAAAAAAAGAAATGAATTAAAATAATTTATAATTTATGTAATAAATTACATATTTTAGCAAAGACTTAATTTTAATTTTTTTTTTTAAGATTATAGAAGGATTTAAAATAAGAGCCTTAAATTAGATAAATTACATTTCAAAATATTTATTAAGTTTTTTTTTTAATAATTTTTAATAAATTCTTTTGATAGACTCTATATTTTTTACATTTTTTTTATACATAATTTAAAAAAAAACTTATTTGTGTTTATTTGTATGCAAAGTTATTATAAAAAATTACACTAAGCCTATTTTAAATGTATTTAATAATATTTATTATTTTTTAAACTTCTAAAAACAATTGAATTTAAAAATGCAGTAATTATTATATAAAAAAATACAAATTTTTATTTATAATTTATATCTTATTTTTAATGGAATTTTTTTTTTTATATTTTAAAGTATTTATTATTAGATTTATTTTTAATAAAAATATCAAAGAATATTTAAATATTTTAGACAAAAGTCATTTATATTTTTTTAAATTGAAATAAATGTTAATCGATTTTTAATTTTGGAAAATTCCATAATATTAATTTTCATAGTCTTTATAATAGTCAATTTCTGATTTTTTATAAATGAAATAAATTTATAATTATTCAAATATTAAATAATTTTAATATTATAATTGATATATATATTAAAATAAATAAATATTTTAAAAATATTAATAGATATTTATTAAATTAATATTTTAATTTTATAAAATAAAAAATCGCTCGATGAAGGGATCGAACCTTCGACCTTGCGGTTAACAGCCGCATGCTCTAACCAACTGAGCTAATCGAGCTTTGAATAATAAATATAATTAAAATTTTTAGAAAAAAGCACTAAAATAAAAATTAAATAATTGTTTTATAACATTATTTATTTTTTATAATCATTTATTCATTATAAAAAAATAATTAAAATATTTTTTTATATTTTCTTTTTCATTTATTTTTATTAGATAAATATATTATTTATTCTTCAAAAAATTACTGAAAATAATTGTTATATTCAGAAGGGCATTAAAAATTAGTGATATAAGAAATATACGTGAAACCATAAAATTAAGAATAAAAATATTTTATATAGATTGAGAATAAGTTATAGAAAATTTTAAGTTTATATGTAAAATAATTAAAATTAGAAAATATTATAAGAGAGTAATAAGTAGAATAAATAAAACCAAAGAAAAATTATCTATAAAATGAATTGCAAAGTTTGACAGAATGTCTTTTTAAGAAAAATAATTCGTTTTAAATTACAATAAAAAATATGAAGAAACTTTTAAAGATAGATAATGAGTTTTTTTTTAAAAAAAAAGTTATGAAAAAATAATAAATAAAATATTAAAAAAGCTTATTTATTTAAATTCTAAAAACAATATAAAAATATTAATGAATAAAAGTTTAAAGACTAAATTATAAAGATTTTTAAATATTTAATAAGAATTAATATATCTTTTTTCTATTAATTATTTAATTTGTAAATATTTAAAACTATGATTGAGAAATAAACAAAATAAATAATTTAAATTATTATTTTAAAATAAGTATATTATTTCAAATATATAAAAGATAATATATATATATATATATATATATATATATATATAATTAAAGCTATTTATTTTATTTAAATCTTTTACAAATCTAATTAATTAAAATTTTATGAATTGAAATTAATGATTATAAATTTAATAATGATTATGAGGATTTTAATAATTTCTTATGTATTGATTTAATTAAATTACTATATAATATTTTAAGTTTATTATTATATTTATTTTATTAAATTTACAATTTTTTATATTAATTTTTATAAGATAATAAAGTATTATATAAAATATAAGAAACTAGAAAAAACATAAATTCATTAAATTAAGCACACTGAAAGCAAATAATTTACAAAATATTAATTATTACTTGTTCTATTGTTTTTTATTATTCTGTATTTTCTTTTTTTTAAAGTAATTTAATAAAAAATGAAAAATAACCATTTTACATTATTGCATTATTATTTTTATAAATTTTATAAAAAAAAGAAGAAAATATTATTAAATAATATTATATATTATAAAATAAAGAAATACTGTAAATAATAATATTAATCTGCTGCTATAAATTAATTATATTAAAGTATCTATAAAATATTTATCAATGATATACTCAAAATATATTTAAATATATTTAAATTTAATGAAAATAACAGCTTTTTTTTAAAAAAAGTTATTAATGATTTTTAGAATAAGATAATTTAATATATTTAGAGTAAATTTAATAAATAATAAACAATTCAAGTATAAGGGAACTAAATAGAATTAATATTTAATATATTAAAATTTCCAAATTAATTGCATAATCTTGTGAAATAAAAATAAGGATACTAATTTAATAAATTGAATTAAATAGACATGTAACTAAATAAATAAATTAAAATGAAATTATGTTTTAATTAAGTAATTTATAAACTTTAAATTGAAAAGTAAAAGAATTTTTGCTAAAATAAATATAATTTTATATTTTTTAAAAAATTATTATATTATTATTTATTAATATATTTAATAGAATTTCATATTAATATAAAAAAATATAAAAACTTAATTATTATATTTAGAAAATATATTATGTAATAATTAATATCAATAAAAAAATAATATACAAAAATTAATTAATAAAATCTTAGTATTTTTGCAAATAAAATTTATCTTTTGAAAATATATTAATTAATTATTATTATTTTATATTTTTTATTAACATGTAATTTTATTTTTTTGTAATTTTATTTTAAAAGAATAATTGTTTTATGCCTTATATTTTGAATAAAAACATATTATTTTTTTATCAATATTGAAAAAAATAATTTTATTTTTTTATTAATAGATAATGCATTTTAATTTTGATATTTTTAATATTTAAAATAATCTAAAAAAATAAATTTAAGATCAATAGTCAAAATGTCAGGTATTAAAACATAAAACATTAAATTTAAAATAAATAACAAACATATAATCACTTTGAATAAAAAATAAATATAAAAGAGGATTCTTAGTATTCAGATATTGCAGGAGGTTGGATAAGTTGGTTTTGCGCTTTAGAAGATCATTAATTTTTATGTGAAGTTGATGAGGATTATATAAAAGATAATTTCAATTTATATGGAATAAAATAGAAATTTAATCATTACAAGTTATAAAAATAAAATTAAGCATTAATAAAAAAATTTAGAATTTATTATATTATTCCAATAATTTTATAAATCAAAAAAAAATAATCAAACAATTTTTTTTTAAATTAATTTTTTTTCATATAGTGAAGCATTAGAAATGATTTTATCGACTGAAAGCCCTGATGATGATGATTTAGAAGATGAAAGGTATAAAATATTAATAAATATTTTAAAAATTGTTAAATATATATAAAATTTTATTAAATAAAGGTTTTTAGAAATATATTAAGAAGCAACCGATTTATATGGACTAATACATTCAAGATTTACTACTTCCCCAAAAGGTTTAGCTATGATGAGAGAAAAGTTTTTACTTGGAAGATTCGGGGTTTGTCCTAGAGTACTTTGTGAAAGACAAAATGTTTTACCTTTAGGAATGAGTGAAGAATTAAGAACTTCGAGGGTTAAAGTAAAACATATATTATTAATATTATATATCAAACTTATTATTATTTTTTAATAAATAAAAGGTGTTTTGTCCAAGATGCGAAGATGTTTACATACCTAAAAAAAAGTAATTAAAAAAAATAAATATTTGCTATCTTTTAAATTTATATTTATAATCATTAATAATAAAGGTGGTAAATTTTATAATTTTTAATTAACTTAGAATAATATTTTATTTAGTCCTGATATTGATGGGTGTTATTTTGGAGTTTCTTTTCCTCAAACATTATTACTTACTTATCCTGATTTAAATCCATAAAAAAATAATTAAAGTTATGTTCCTAGAATTTATGGATTTAGAATATATAAAAAGAAAGGATCTAGATTTGCTGAAGATGATCAAAATGTATGTGAAGTCACTCATTATAGTGAAGAATTATTGAAATAAATTAGAGGAAAAGCTGACAAAAATAAATAAGATGATAAAAAAAATTATTCTAATAATATTATTTAATGAAAAAAAAATAAAAAATTAATAATTGAAAAAGCATATAATGATATAAACTTTATTCTTTTTTTATATTAATTATGTAATATTAGTTTTTTGAAAACTTTATAATTTTATATTAAATTTTAATATTTTTTTTTTTTTTCTAAATATTTTTTATGTAATAATATTTAAAATGAAAATTATACTTTAATATTTGTTATATATTTTTAGTTTTATTAATATCAAATTAATATATCATTTTTTTTATAATTTGCTTTGTTTGTATAAATTAAATATTAATGGCTCTTCTTTTTTATATTTAAAAAATAAATTAAAAATAAGATAAATATTTTTTATATATTACCTGTCTTTCCTTATTACATATCGATTTATTTTTATTATTAATAAACCAAATTTTATTGATTTTGAGAATATTATTGAACTTAATTTGTAGTTGTAGTTTTTTAGTTTAATTAATCTTTTTTTTATTTTCCTTTATCATAAATATCCTAACTGTAATCTTAGTTTATCTTCAAATTTTTATTCTAATCCTCCTATTATTAATCTAAACTTTAAAAAGATTCGCTATTATTTAATAATTATTATTAATCTTTTTGATTTTATACATTGCTTTCCTTAAGTTTTTATTTTCTTTTTAATTAAAAATCAGATTAATATATTTAAATTAATAATATCAAATTACCTTTTTTTTAATAAATGTTCGTATTTAACTAACTTTGCAGAAATAAGTTATAATTCATCAACATATTCTTGCATTGTATTATTGTATAATTATTTCATAGCTTAAAAGCAAAGTTGAGCTTCATTTAAATCCTCAATTTGTAAATAATTCTAAGATTCATCAAAATATCTGCCAACTTTTTCTTTTACATATTCAGCAATAGAGGCATCTATTTAATTAAAATCAATTTTTACATCTTCTTATTAATTTTGAGCTGATAATAATCTTTTATCTTTTTCTTTAAGCTATTTTTATAAATTCTAATTTTCTATTAGAAGATTTTTGTAAGCTTTTTAAAGATCAAATTTATGGTTTCTTTAAACCTTTTTTTTTATTGAAAAATATATACAATATACAAAATCTAAAACTAAAAAAAATAACTTCATTTTCTATTTAACCAACTCTTTAAGAGAATCTTAAAGTACTAATAGTTTCATCATAGTTTTCAATATCACTACTAATATTTGCTATCATAGCTGTTTAACAATTTCCTCCTATACTATCCTTTAAAATTGTTGTCATAAATGAATTTCTATAAGGAATATGTGATTTTATTCCTTTTTTACTTTAATCATTTAATGCTACAATTACCTTTTTAAAAATTAAAAAAATAATAAATTATTATTACTTATTCTAAAAAACTTAATGATTTATTTATGTGTTTTGCTTCTGTTAATAATGTTCCGTTTATTTATGTTTTTGATATTCTTTCTGAACCTGCTAAATCAACTAAATGAAGTTTTGATAAATATTAATCGCCAGTTGATTTTTCAGTCGCTTCTAAGTTAATTGTAAATACACAATGGGAACGAGAAGAATTTTAATTCATGGAAGTAGAACTCATCTATAAAGTTTTTTATTTTTAAGAAATACATAAATTAATATTTTTTTAAACAAAACCTTTTTAATGAAATTTCCTGTAATCATTTTATCAAAACCTTCTTGCTCATTTTAAATTTAATGGATAGTAATGTTTTTTAAATGAATATTTCCTTCATCATCCCATTAATAAGTTACTTTATTATTTTCACTCGGATTATCTAAATGAGCTTGATTTAATAAATCAAAAGCATTATCATTATATATTTCCATATAAGAAATATTTATTTTACAATCAAAATCTTTCTTTTAATCAATATGACTAAATATTCCACTTATTACTCTCGGAGTAATTCCTCTATATTACCATTATTATTATTCTTTGTTTTATTTTATATATTTTTAAATTATTTATAATAATTACCACTTCCACTCATGGTATAAGTTTTTCCACTTCCTGTTTAACCATATGCAAATATTGTTCCATTATATCCATTCATAAAGCTTTTAATTTATTTATATATTTTTTATTTTATTTTAAAAAAATACTTTTCTAAAATGGGGCTAACAACAATTTCATATATTTCTTCTTATTCACTATTTTAATCGAAAATGTCTTTAAAGTTAAATTGGGTTTAATCCTTTAAAAATAATTAAATATTTATTTATTATTTAATTTAAAATAATATTATTTTTTGAGAATGAAAAACAGAATTTTTGTAGATGTTTATTTTTTAAAAAAACATTAAATAAAATGTTAAATATAAATACTTATTATTTATTCATAAGTTTTTTTATTTTACACGATAATTAATAGAATAGCTTATTGTAGACAATTAGTTTTTTAAAATGGTTAGTATCTTTTAATTATTATCTATTTCATATGGTATTTGAACTTCATCAAAACTTATTATTTTATTTTAAATATTATTATTTTTTTCACTTCAATTTGTTATAATTTTATTACCATGGCTTTATACGACAATAAATTTATAATTTTTATAATTATTTGTGGCTATTGCTATACATTATTTTATTCTTATTTTCACTTGTTTAAATTTTTTTATTTTGTTTTTTATTTATATTTTTGAAAATTAAATTAACATAGACAAAATTCTTTTACTTTTACAAAAAAAAATAAGTAAAATGAATATTAAAAAAAAATGGTAAATAAAAAATAATTTTAAAATAAATTTAAATTAAATTAATTAATTTTACTTTTATTAAAGGAAATAAAAATATAATTTTCCTTTTTTCATAATAAACATTGAAATTAATTTTTGAATTATATAATTTTGTATTTATTATTTTTCTGTATTTTTTATTTTTATTGCATTTTTTTATTAAAATATAAAAATAAATTAAAATAAACTTTAACAATTAAAAATCATATTTATACTTTTTAAACAAATTACTTTTTTATTTTTTTACATTTTGAACATTTTTTTAAAATAAAAGATTTATCTGCGTATTCTATTTTTGTTTTTAAAATAATTAATATTGTAAATTTAAATAATATATAATATTTTATCAATACTTTTAATTTTAAATTTATATTTTTGATAATAAATCATACATTTTTTACAATAAGTTTTTTTTATCTCCTTATCTCTATAATTTTAAATAATATAAACTATAATACTAATATAATATTAAACTTTATATCACATTTTAATAACTTTTTTTTATGCATTTAATATAAATTCTTTTAAATAAAAGTTAGATAATTCTAAAGAAATATTTTTAAACTATTAAGAAATTTAATTTAAATAATTGAGTTTAAAATACGCTTCACAATCTTATATTTTACTATTTTATAGTTCTTATATTTCTTGAATTTATTTTACTTACTATTCTTACATTAACAAAAATAAAATAAAAATTTAACAAAATAATTTTTAATAAAAAATTTTAATTTTTGATTTTAGGAAATAAATTTATATTTTAAACATAAATCGAAAAAAGATAATCATTATTTAATTAAAAATATTCAATTGTAAAAAATTTAAATAAATTAATAAAATTTATTTGTAAAATTAATGATAATACAAGACTAAAAATTCGGGAAAAACATATAAATCACATATGGTTGTTGTATAACTTTAAATTTAGCAGATTATTAAAATTATTATATATAATCTGATGGTTTTTTATAATCCAAATTATCTTTAAAAAACTACTCTTAACCATTAGGAAATAAATTTGTTGATTTTAGAAACTGTGTTTTTAAAATTTTGCCTCCATTGGATCATAATTATGTTTAAAGTATGTTAAAAGCTACGCAATCATAAGACATCAATAATGAAAGTAATAAATAAAAATGCATATTTTTAAATAAAAATTAATTAAATTAAAATTATATTATTCTAAATTATATATATTTTTTTTTTTTATCAATTTTTATACTAGCTTCTTTGTAGAAAAGAAAAGCAAAAATTAGAATGTTGCAATAAAATTTGAATGCTGAACTAAATTCAAATATGACTACATGCTAAAAATTAAATGGAACTTCTGTTTTATTTACTTCTTCAAGTTTTCATTTAGTGCATGTTGCTTCAATCAAGTTTTTGTCTTTAACTAAAGATTAATCAAATAATTATATGTATAATTTATTATTACAATTTAAATAATTTTTTACATACATATAGATATTAATCATTTATTATTAAAATTATTTATTATTTAAAAAAGTTTTACTTTAGAAGATTTTGCAAATTAATAAACATTATTTAAATTTCTTCCTTGTCTTACAATTTAAAAATAAAGAGCTAATATTGTAATGAATAGAGATACAATAAATTTATGCAATATAGCTCTTATTCATAATAGAAAAAGCTTTTTATATACAAACTTTTAAGGGTAAAAAATTTAAGAAAATATTAATAATTTAATTGACGAAGAATATTCCCATGCCAGCATATATGCAAATTTAGAAAACGCAAGTAGATGGGTGTAAATATAATAAAAATAAAATAAAATTATAATCTTAATAAACAAAAAAAAGAGTAAATATATATTCGAATGATGAAGCTGAAGAAAATTCTCGTTTTTTAAACATAGGAAGTGTAGTTTAGTTAAATTTATCTGAAAAAAATGTAAATAAAATAAAAAGAAAACAATAAAAATAAAAATAAAAAAGTATTGTTTATCATGTAGTAGTAAAAATGAAAATATAGAAAATATTTTAACGGATTATTAAGGATATTTAGAAAAAAATGATATCTAAAAATCTTAAACTAGGTTTCATGAGCCTTAAAATAGAATCCCGAAAAGTCGCAAAAATACACTTATGTAGTTATCTTAAAATACAATAATGACATAAGAATCTAAATAAAAAAATGATACAAAAAAAATACTATTACTAAAATTGATGAATAAATAAATTTGCATATCGTCGAATAATCTTAAGAAATAAAAACATTAATTCCACCTGCATTCTCTTAAGTATAAAGAGTTTGTTCGCAAGCAACATAAGAAAATAATATTTTTTAAGACTTAGAGAAAATAAATCCGGATTTAAATTAAATTTAAAAGAAAGAGTTTGATTTAAATAATGAATAATTAACAAATTTAAAACATACTATTAATGAAAAATACGAAGTTTTATATGAATAAACTGTTTATTCATAAAATTCTCCTATATATAAGTAAAATGTAGTCCCTAATATTAAAGCTTTATGGATTATTGAAAGTACAAATATATATAATGGAGGATTACTCAAATGGGAAAATACTTTCCGATTAAAACACTTTATTACTGGTAAATATTTATGCGTAAGATAAGATTATTAAAATTCAGATAATAATTATTTAGATTTGACTTCAAGTGATGAGAAAGGATCTGTTTTTAAATTTTTGCCTTTAAAATAAACAGAAAATAACAAAAAGTTTATTACTAAAGATAGCTTTTTTTAAATTTAACATTTTTAATCAGAGTAAACTATTTCTTATAAAGAAATTAAAGATTGTATTCAAACACGTTTAGAAAAAAATAATAATAATTACAAAATTAATATTTTTAAAATTAAAAAAACTAACTTTGAGGATACTTGGGAAACTAATTTTTTACTTTTCACTATGCCTGTTATTTTAAATACGATAAAAATTATTAATCTTTTTGTATTTTTTTTTTTTAATTATTTTATATAATTTCATTTTAGAATTTCAAAACTCAAAGTTAGTAATGGAAATCAAGGCATGTTTTTAGGCAATATTTAGATAAAATTAACAATACTATTCATGGATTAAATAATTTTGTTAATAATAAACTTGCTTCATATATCGATATTCATGAAGAGTTTGCCTCAGCAAGTGCCATAAGATAAAATGTAGATACATTTAATTATTTATTTTAAATATTATTAATTTTTTTGTTAAAAAGAAAATAAGTTAATTAGAGAATAACAAATTTTAGGAGCTCTTTGCTTACTTTTGTAAAAAATATATCCAAATATTTAAGATTTTTAATAGTATGCATATACAACCGATTTATAAAAAGAATATTTAAATATTTATAAACAAAATTAATGGCCTATTAAGCATGAATTTAATTTGAACTAAGAATAAGGTAAATAATTTATAATTATATTTAAATACTCCTTTTAATTTATATAAAAAAAAAATATAGTTGAAGAAGATGATTATATTAAATTATAATAAGAATTTTTTGGTAAAAGATATGGATTATCATATAATATTTATATGCTTTTACAATGTATATGTAAGGAAAATACTTAAAATTAATAATATTTATTAAAATTTATTTATACTTTTATACCTCATATTGGTTTTGGAAAATTTGTTTGCGATGCATTATCTAATATTTATTTTAAAAATATATAAATTTTATAAGAGATACAAAATATTTAATTAAAATCACAATAAAATCAATAATAATTAGCTGTAAATACTGAAAAAAAAAGCAATTTATTAAATGAATTAATACTTAAGTTTAACTAATTTCCTAATTTTGTAAAACCTGAATTAATTTAACTATTAGCAGATTGCTGTGTTTTAAATAACGTCGCATTATATTAACATTAGAAATACATTTATAATAGAGTAAATATTATATCAATATAAATAAATCTATTTTAATATTTTAATTTAGGTTATTTTAAGTCCTTAGATATAAAAAATTTGTTTGATGAATGTATATTCTAAGAAAAAAGTTTGTAATAATAACTAATAAATATTTGTAAAGGTACGTTTTTTCGAAAATGATTAATTGAAAGAAGAAGATATACCTATATCGGATTTTTTATAGAATAAAGAAAAGAAAAGAAGGAAATCATTAGTTTAATATTTAAAAAGTTAATTAAATTTATTTACAAATTTGTGTAAAAATAGAAATAACATAGCATGTTTTTTTATTAGAGATTAATTTCCTTTAGAAGTTCTTTCGTATTCAATAATAAAATAAGACGAAAGTGACCCAGAAATATTAGCAAAATTTTTAAAAATAATATAAAACGTTTATATTGATATTTTTCCCAGATAAGCACATACCAAACCTAATTTAATAAAGAAACTTTTCACAGAAAGCGAATATAATACTTAATAATAAAAATTAAATAATGTTATTAATAATGAAAGCTATGATAATAATAACTAAAGTGCTGAAGAAATTGTAAATAATGGAGGAAAAATAAAAAACTTTGCAGTAGTATCAAAAGTAATGAAATAAATATCTAAGATGACCTTAAAAACAGTGAAAATGCCAGATAAAGCATTAGATAATACTTAAATTAATATAAATAATGATATAAATCAAGAAATGATAGAAAGAAATCATCTTAATTAACTAAAAGAATATCTTATTTAGTATTTGGAAGATAGAAATACTTAATTATAAAAAATATTTTAAAAAAATGATGATAATATAAATGATAGAGATTAGAAAAAAAACATTACGAATTCAATATATAACAATTTTACTTTAGAATGCATTGAAATTTTATAAATGATGGTTTAATTCGAACTTGTAGATGAAAAAGAAAACCTATAAAAATTAAATGGAAAAAATGGAAATAATTAAGGGATTTTGAATAAGATTTTTATATAAAATAATAATAATGGAAATATTAATGAAATAAATAAAGAAAGACATAACTCAGAGTTAGAAAGGATAATTAAATGTCTCGTAAATTTATTAGAATTTGATGAAAAATACTTTTAGGAATTATAAGGGTTGTAAATTTTAAGAAAATATTAAGAAGTTTAACTTTTGTAAGAAAATAATTAAGGATTAAAAAATGTATTAAGATAAGGTATTTAAATAGGAAAATTAAGCTAATTAGGAGGAAAATTAATGGGAAATATGGTCGGAAATATGTTTATGAACGATAATTAATAAAAATAAAAAAAGTAGGCTAAGATTATGACAAATCTAGATTCTTAGAATGAACTTGTGTAAGAACCGATTTTTAAGAAAGTTTAAGGATTGAAAAAAATACTTATGAAATATACAAATAAAACTTTCTCCATAAGAGAAGAAAATAAAGAATTTGAGTGCGAAAATTTAATAAAAATCTCTATTTGCAATTTCCTTTCGCATTTATTGGATATAAGATAGGATTTCTTTATTGATAATGCTATTTGCTATTTTCAATAGAAATTCGCTATGTATAAAAAAGAAGAAGATTACAATAAATTAGATAATGATTTAAAAGAGATTCTTCCTAATATAATGACTGGAGTAGGGAAAGAAGTACAGAAAGAATAAATTAAAAACTATACTTAAAATAAATTCTATTTAAGGGGGTTTGATGAAATTTTAAGTAGGTCGTTTATTGAATGCTTACTTTTTTCTTTTTATATTGCTCAAAATAGTGATTTAGAAAATTCTATTATTAAACTTATTAAAAGATGTGTGGAAAGAAAGGAAGAATTTTTTAATAATATTCTATAGCTAGAAGTCATTTTTACATAATAGGATAATTATTTATATCAAGTCATGAGCGATTTTATAATAACTTTGAAAAATCTAACTTAAGAATCATAAATTTGGCTTAATGTTGATGATTATTTAAATTAACCAAAAGAATAAGAATAAATAAATTAAGCTATTATTAAGTTAATGTCTTTTGAAAGTATTCTTAAAAAAGATTATGAAGATAAATAATAATTATTTTGATACAAATATTTAAAAAAATACTCTATATATATATATAAAAATATAAATATAAATATAAAATATTAATTAATTTATATAAAAATATATATTTATATATATATATGTATATAAATATATTTATATATATAAATATATATTTATTTTTCTTATTTTAGAATCGGTTTAAAAACTAGATAAAATATTTTTAATCATATTGGGGGTAGATAATGTTTGATTGAACTTAATGAAAAAGTTCTTAATGTTTTGGAAAAACATATGGATGATATTTTTTTTGATTTTAGTGAAAATAATTATAAAATTAAGCTTATTAAAATAAGTTTTTCTATTATGATTTCTCTTTGTTAAAATAATAAAGAAAACTAAGAGTACTTTTAAATATTATTGTTTTTTATTTTTATTATTTTTTTATAGAGTTTTCTTTAATAAATATTTTAGATATTTATAAAAATTTTAAAAAATAAATATTGGATAAATTGAATTTACATAAGAAATCTTGAAATATAATTATTTTTTAACTTTAAATTTAACAAACAAAGATCTTTCATATTATCTTGATATGATTAAAATAAATGGAAAACATTACTAATTTTTAGAAATATTTAATGTTCTTTTGCTAAAAGAAACAGAATCTTAAGATTAAGAATAAATTCAAAAAGTAATAATTGAATCAATTTTAGATTATGGAATTAGTTAATATATAAATGTAATAATAAAATATATATCAATATGATTTATTTATTTTTATAATAAGCCTTTTGAGAAACAAGACAATTTCTAATAAAAAATTAATTTAATTTATGATATTTAATAATAAGGTCATTTTTATAATGAATAAATTGATATCAATAAATATAAATCAATATTTTTAATAGTAAAATTTAAATATTCTTTTTTATTTAAAAAAATAAATACAAATAAAGGTGTTAGCAAAAACTTTAAATAGTGACACTTAATTGAATATAATATCTAAGTTTAGCTAAAATATAACAGCTTAAGATTTATTAACTTTTTTGAATCAAATACTAGAAATAAATAAAAAAGAAGTAAATAATAATCAAGAAGTAAATAAATAAAATTTAGAAACATGTATTGCAATTATAGAGTTAATATTATATTTTAAAAATTCAGCCTAATTTTCAAAATAAATATATAAATATACAAAAATATTAACTAAAATCATTGTATAAGAAATGGAAATACTCCAAAACATAAAAAATATATCTTAATTATATAAATATTATCTATTAGATAGCTTAATACCTTTAATTAATTATTATTCTGAAAATCATTTAAAAGATCTTATGCAATCTTAAAAGAAACGTAAGCAAATTTATTCTTAAATTTTTTATGATTTTGCTACTGTTTTTACATAATTATTAAATAAGTAAGATATTTACATTATTTATATGTAAAAATAATAAAAAAACAAAGAAATCTAGGAATTTATGAAGATTTAAATTTAAATAATAGAAAAAAAGAAATATAATTTTTCTGTAAATAATTTAATAAGCAAATGTCATCATAATTAAAAATAAAATCCTTTCTTAATATATAACAACTAGATTAAGATGAAGAATAAACTAATGATAAATTAATGAGTATATAATTAGATTTACATGAAAAGGGAAAAATAAGATAATAATCATAAAAAAAAAATTCAAAACTAATTTGCATTTCAAAAGGTACAATTAATATGATAGGAGATTAGAGTCCACTATTTAACCCCTAATATAAGAAAAATAATGAAAATTAAAAATAGAAAGATATGGTGTAGACTTGGTGTATATTTAAGAACAAAGTAAAAGAAAGTAAATACTTAAAAAAAGAATTCAAAAAAGAAAAAAATATACTTTCTTAAAGTATAATAAATATTTCTTAGGCTTTTGTAAAAGTGAAAAAAAGTTAATAAAAAGATATTATTTTATAAAGTGATGATATTCTATTAAAATTATTTTAGTTTATTGAATATTGGGAATATAAAAAAGTATCGAAAAAAAATATTATTTTCATTCTAAGAATTATGATTAATATTCTTAAAGAAGTTAATGTCGAGGAGAATTTAAAAGATGAAAATAATGAAGACGAGGAAGAAGTATAAGAATAAAAAGAAAAACCAGGAGAATAAAAAGTAGAAAATAATAAAGAAGAGAAAAAATAAGAAGAAAAAAATGAAGAATATGAAGAAATTTTGTAAGTATTAAAAATAGAACGATAAGAACAAATGAATAGTTTAAATGGGACGAAAATTGCTTTAATGCTTTTTTGGGAAGAACGAGAAAATGATTCTTTATATTTGAATTATTTATTAAAATTTATAAATAATCTATTAGATGGAGGTAATTAGACTGTATAGAAGACTATTCATGATTTCTTTTTAAGTTCAGGAAATTCTGAAAAATTATTCTAGAAAATAAATATTATATTAATGTCTTAGATTAATAATTAAAGTATACTTACAGGAGAATATAAAGGAAAAATAACATAAAAAATACTTCGATTAATGTAACTTTTTTGTGAAGGGCATAATATTTATTTGTAGAATTATTTAAGAAAATAAATTAATTCCAAGTATAATTATGATTTAATTTCAGTAACTACAAAACTTTTGATGTCTTATAGAATATCTTCAGAAACATATCATGAAATAGAATAATGTTTCGATACTTTAACAGAATTTATATAAGGGCCTTGTAAAGATAATTAGGATACTATTTCTAATACAAAGTTTTTGGAATATGCTGTTTAGGTTTTAACAGAAGATGAGAGACTATACTAATTAAAAGATGAAAAAGTAAATTAAAGTAAGTTAATGGAAAATAATTAAATAGTAAATATTATAAATGAAGAAACTAAAAACAATAATGAATCAACTCCTTTAAAAGATTCTAGAATTTAATTAATAAAAAATGATAAGAATAATGTAAGTATATTTGAAAAAATCATAAATAAAAAAATATTAATAATAATGATAATATTAATAATAATGAAAATAATGATAATATTAATAATAATGAAAATAATAATGATAATAATGATAATAATGATAATAATGATAATAATGAAAATAATGAAAACAATGATAATAATGATAATAAAGAAAAGAATGATAAAAATAAAAATAAAAATAGATAATGATGATAATAATAATAATAATAATAATAATAATAATAATAATAATAATAATAATAATAATAATAATAATAATAGTGGTGTCTTAGAAAAAATATATGAAAAAAAAAATGATATAAATAAGTTTGCTATTCATCTTGCTGAAATAGCCCGTTTAAAATATAAATGCTTAATTACTGTTGTTTCTTTGCTCGAATGTAATGATTCGAGAAGTGATTTTATTATGAGAATTATGAGAATTATTCCTGTTAAGGTTCTTACTGAAAATCTTACTAAAATTTATTAGCTTTATTAAAAGTATACAAAAGACGATTATAATGATGATCTTTTTAATACTATGGATAAAGATATTGAAGAAGGAGATCATATTGAAGAAAAATAATCTCTTATTATTGAGAATGGATTTCATTTATATACTTTAATTAAATTGTATATTTCAAATAAAGGTTTTATATTTAATATTTTTTTTGTTAATTAATTTTCTTTTTTTTAGAATTCGATGATTTACTTGATGATAATGATGAAGATATGAATGCTATTTTAGATGAATTTAAATAAGAAGATGATGGAATTCTTTAATCTATTTTTAATAAAGATAACTTGTTTGGAAATATGGCAAAATTAGGTATAGGTATATTTTCTGTTGGATTAAATGCAATGAAAGTATAAAAAATAGAAATGTTAAATATAAATAGTTTTTTATTTTTAAACATAGGAAATTAAAGTAAATGTTGATAAAATAGCAGGATTTAAAGATGATAAATAAGAAGAAATGTATAAATTAAAATAAAAACAAGATAAAAAATTGCTAATAAAAAATGTTTAAAAAATAATAATATTTAAATATTTATATAAATTAAAATAGGCACTTTAATTTTTCAAATAAAAAACATGCCAAATCGAAATTATAAGAGATGGAGAATTATAAACAATATATTTCCCAAAACTGCCTTTATGTTTTACTTTGGCAGATGAAGTAAAAGACGATTTTAATAATTAAGTAGACCGTTCATCAACTAAAGCAAAAATAACATGCTTAATGAATTAAAGTGATAGAATAATTCGAATAATGAAACATGAAGAAAGGGTTAGAAGATTAGTAAATACATAAAAAATAATAGGATTTATTGTGAATAACCATAAATTATTAGAAAACCTATCATTTTGTTTTGCTATTGCTATAAACCTTATAGTTATAGGATCTTATTCTAATACGTATTTTGATAAAGACTATTTTGAATCAAAAGGAATAAAAGAAACTGATGCATATTATCAAGATTCTTTATAATATACAAGATTAAGAGATCCTAGATTTTTTGGAATTGAAAAATATAAAGAGACGGGTCGCATTATATAGATTATAGGATTAATAAATCTTGCATTAGTAAGTATTGTTGTAGCCTTTTTTTTAATTAAAAGAGCTCCTTTAATCGTTGAAAATATTTGGAAGAACTTTTTTAAAGGAGGATATTTGAATATTTTATAAAAATTTATTTAATTTATTATTAATACCCTTCGTTCTATTTACCTTTGTTTATAAGATTTTGATATTATTTATTATTGCTTATAATTGTGTTTTGCCCTTATTGGGCTTACTTATCATCCTTTCCTTTTCGCAGGCCTTCTTAGTGACTTTTTAAGATTTGATATACTTTCAAATGTTGTAAAAGCCATTTATGAACCAAAAATTGAAATGGGTTTGAGTTTATTACTTTTTATTATTCTCGAATATTATTTCACAATCGTTTCTTATACTATATTTTATAATCAATATGCTTAATATTAGGATTGCGAAAGTTTCTGGAGATGCTATTTTAAAACTTTTGATTATACTTTTAAAGAAACTGGAGCAGTGGGTATTTTTTTAAATAATTTTTTAAATTTTTTATATATATTTTTTTTTTTAGGTAAATTCCTATTTGAAGAAAACAGCTTAAAGGAAGTTGGTGGAAATCAAGACGATTATAATGGTGTCAATTAAAATTTAAAATCTTTGTATTTTGAAAGATTTGCTTTTGATAATCTTTTGAATATTGTACTTGTATTGATTGTTATGAATATGATTGGTGGTATTATTATTGATAAATTCAAAGAACTTAAAGATAAACTAGATTCTAAAATTATTGACGAAAATAAATATTGTTTTATTTGCGGCCTTGACAGATAAACTTTGGATAAAGGAAGCGAATAAGGAGGATTCTTTTATCATATTAAAGTTTTTTTTTTTTTGTCTGTTTTTTTTATTTTTTGTTAGGTTGAACATAAACAATGGAATTATATTTTCTATTAAGCTTATTTGAAACAAAAATAAACTACAGAATTTAATGGAAACGAATCTTATATTTATAAAAAAATTAATAATTTTGATATTAGTTGGATTCCTAAAAAGCGGACAAAATAAATTAAAGATATTCAAGATTTAGAAGAAGAAAAAATGGAAATCGTTGGTTCTGCTAAGAATAATGTAAACATAATTTATTTTAAAATTTTATGAATACATTTCTTTTTTTTATTTTAATAAAAGATTATTAAATTGAATTAGGAAATGTCTTAATTTGTCAATAAATAAAAATAATTTATCTAAAAACTAAAATAAATAGATTAAAAATAATAATAATTTTTAAAAATCAACCATAATTGAATAAAAGTAGAAATACAAATTAAAATAAATATATATATATTACAATATTTTTAAAAATTAAAATTATTAACTCTTTTTATTATTTATATGAAAAAATATGAACACATAAGTTTTTATAGAAATTAAATAAACTCAAAAAACAAAAAAATATATAAAGAAATATGATAAAAATACTACTATAACGCAATTCAAGGCAAAATAACCTTAAAAAATGCATTTATTTTTCTCTTATTTTTGAAAAGAAAAAGCTTTATTAAATTCCATGTAATTAGCATCAGGTATATGTAAAAATCCTTAAGGCAATTTTTTTCTATTAATATTAAACTAAATTATTTAATCAGGAAGTTCTTTTAGAACTTCTTGTGCAAGCATTTATTCTTAATTTAAAAACTATTTCATTTAAACGAACTAAACAATATCTCTTTAAGTAGTTCTTCCTATCTTATCCACAAGCCCTTAGTCGCCTGCATCTAATATTTTCATATCCAAGAACTCACTATCACCAACTCCAATAATAATGATTGAAATGGGATAATTACCACATTCTATAATTAGTTTCTTTGTTTCTTCAAGGTCCTATATACTTCCTTATGTTAAAAGTAAAAGAACAACATAATCATTTTTATGAGATTTAATTGATTAAATACATTATTTTATTAAAGGAATAAAGCAGGCACTTTTTCCTGGTTTGATTCTAGCCAAACATTTTTTATATTCTTCTAAAATATTCCATATTCCTTTAATATAAGGCTAATCATTTCTATTGTTAATAGAAAAATATTTGCATGTTTATCCTTTTATTTCTGCCCCGAAACCATACACAGGGACCATTTTATCTTTATCATATTCCATTAAAATCGTTCCTACAGAAAAAAGCGCTCTTTAATATGCATTATAATTATTTCCTGTTTTTACTTCAGTAAGGAAATGTAAAGAATTCGGGTCTTTAAAATCTCCATTTAAATTCGAAAAATCGATTCCTATTTGTAAATTAATACAGGTTCCGGAACGTAAATAGTCTAAAAAGGAAGGAAAAATAAGTAATTGACATTTATCAAAAATAAGAATTCCTGTTTCTTCATTTTAGTTATTTTTCAATTTTTAAACTGCCTCTTATCTTTCCTCAGTGTTTTGTTCAAAACTCTCTTTTAGATCATTTATTGAAATCTCGCAAGAACCAATTAGATATGGCTTTTGGAAAAAAACGGGCTTATTCCATATTTCGAATATGCATTTTGTCGGATAATCGCTGTTGTTTAGTTAGTTTCCTTTAAGGATTATGTGCTTTTTAAATAGGTCTTCTGAAAAATGAAGTGAAGATTCATAAATGATAACATGATTGGGTTATTTATGGCATATTTTTAAATATATTTATGGAAAATAAGAGAGGTTTTTTAAATTTTTGGTTGTTAATTAAAATATGAACATATCATTACATTAATTAAATTCGTCATAGCGAATAATTATTCGTCCATTCATTAATTTTTTATTTTTTTCATCAAATATTAACTCGTTTTTGACTGAAAATAAATCTAAAACTAATGTTTGGTTACTTTAGCATACTATTTCGGCAACAGAGCATTTTACTTAGCCTAAAAATTGATCTTTTTATAAAGGAATTTTAGAATATACTTCAAATTTAAGCTATTGAAATTATTCGAATTTATAGTCAAGTATAAAACTTTCAGAAAAATTTGGGTTTAGATTCTACTTTACGATGTTCGTACGATGTATTTCTTTGTACGATTTATCTATATCGTCTTTTGGAATTATGTTAAGGGATAAATTACGAGATTTTACGATTATATAAGTATCTAAGGGTTCTTAGAATTGGTAAAGCTCTCGACAGGATAAAAATAATTCGATTTTTCGACTAAAATCTTGAGATTTTGTATAAAAACTCTGTTTTCTTATCATTTAGATTTTTTTTAATTTTTTGTTTCTTTTTTCCTAGCTTGATGAAATTTTGTTATGCGTGTTATTTTTATTAATATTCTCTAAAATATTTTTTTAAAAAAATAAATTTACTAATATAATAATTAATTTTATAATTTTATGGATATTGATTATATAAAATTTTATTTAATTAAAATTTATAAATTGTAAAAACATTATATAGTATAATTTATTTTTTTTTTAAAAAAAAAACATTTATATCTAATAATTATATTTAAATTTATTTTTTTAATAAAAAATTAAAAATATAAAATCTTTTTTACCCCTCAACAAAAATAAAATTAAATAAATAAAATATATATTTTTAATAAAAATATAAATCATTCCAAATACTATTACAAGTTCTAAGCAACTTAAAAATAATCATTTAATTTTATAATATAAACCATTCTATATTAAATTTCTTTAGAATTATTAAGTTAATTATTATCATATTAAAAGAAGAAATAATCTTCAGCTTTTTACAAAAAGCAGAAATCCTCATATTTGGGATACAAGAAATTTTCTAAATTTTCATTTTCATGAGAGTATTTTGCACATTTACTTAAACAAATTAAATACTCGAAATCAAAATCATTCAAAAATTAATTTTTATGTTCTTTTTTTACCCATAAGTAATCTTTTTAGACTTCTTTATGTAGAATAGGAACTGTTTATGGTGATAAATTCATAAGGCGCTCATTTATGAGTATTCCAATTTTTTTTTTTTCTATAACATTCTTTAGAAACGCATGTTTTTCTTTTTTTTAATTTTTTTCGCTTTTCTTCAAAATATAATCGATAATGTCTTTACCTTTATCTTTTTTTATAAATGTACAAAATCCTAAACAATCTTTTACTTTTTGCTTGTCTTCTTCATCATCCATAACCATAAATGTTCCTAATAATATTTACTTTATTAATATATCAGCATATTCACTTGAATTATTTGATATTCCATCTAAGTATTTGCTCATAAATGCTTTTATGGAATGAAACATGTCCTCGTTTGCATCTTTAAACTCTATTTCAACATTTAATGTTTCGATTTCTTCAGATTCATTATTTGATGAGCATGATTCTTCATCTTCTTCTTCTTCTTCGATCTTATCTTTCTTTTTTGTTATGTCTATTAAATCATCACTATCATAATCCATATCTACATCATCGTCTGAGGACTATTATGATTATATTTTTTATTTTCTTTCGATTTATTCTTTCTTGTTTTAGAATTATTATTATTGCGCTTTTTTTTGTTTGCTCTTCTTACTTTTTTTTAATATTTGCTGGTTTTAGGGTAATTGTGATTTTTTTTAATGTTCTAATTGCTTTTCTTATTTTTATATAGCTTTTTTTTTTTCTATAGGTTTTTTGAAGTTTTAATTATTCATTTTTTTATATTGCGATTATAAAAAATTAAAAAAGTTAAAATTAATAAAAAATAATTTCGAATTATTTTTTAATTAAATTTTAATTACATATAAATGTAGAAATATGATTTTTTTTTTCTTTTATACATTTATAATAATTAAGTTTTTTAGGAATATCTAAAAGTATGAATTGATATTTTTTTATTATTATGATAAAATTAAATATCTAATTGTTTTATTAAAATAAATATCAATTTTATTAATATTAATTAACACTTTTTATTTATAATAGAATCTTTTTCCCTAATTTTTATTTAAATATATTTTTAAAACAAATGTAATTAAAAATTAATTTAGAAAAGAATATTACAAAAAAAATACATATATATATATTTATTTTATAATTTTTTAAAATAGAATTAAGAGATAAAGCTTGTTCACATTCAGAATATTTTTTTTAAATTAATCCATTCTTATCTTGTGATTTCAACTTTTAATACATTTTTTAATACTTAATTACTTTCAGGATCTGCACTAGGCTATTATTAAATATAATGTATGTAATTGTGTTATATGTATAAATATATACTTGATTAATTAAAAAGATAAAATTAGCTAATTTTGTAAATTAATCATTTGATGTTAAATCTTTTATAGAAGAATAATCGCTTCTTTCATTAAATGAGTTAGTATTATTAGAAATTTTTTTTGATAGATTATTAGAAATCCTTTTTTTATAAAAAAAAATAATAATAATATTATATATTTTTGTTTTTTCTGTTAATACTAATATGCTTAAAATTTAAGTTAATTAATTGATTTATTTTAATTTTAGAAGAAATTATCAATTTATAAAATAGAGTTATTGTTACAATTATTAGAATTAATATTAACAATTTCACTTTGAGCTAATACAAGTAAAGCATTTTTTTAAACTGTATGGATTTGATTTATTTAATTTGCAAAGAATGATGGAGTACATTCATTTTCATCTTTTTATTTTAGATTTGAAAATAAATTAAGATTAAATGAATTATTTTTAAGAGAAATTATTCTTTGTTTAAGTTCTTTATTTTTAAGTAAACTATTTTCGATTTCATAAAATTTAATTAATTCATTTACTTCTGGGTCATTACTACTTTAGTTTGAAAATATACTTTATCTTTCAGCTTTTTTAATTTTTAAATAAAATTTTAATAATAATTTATATTCATACATCTTGGAGTCTCTCCTTATAAACCAAAACGTGATGAAACGTTTTATCTTCCTCCTAATTAAAGAATAGCTTTATTAGAATTTGCTTATTTATTTTATAAAGGAAAATTATTAGATATTTAAGAAGTTATATTTTATTTATAATTTTTTATTTCTTCTTAAGCTTCTTTATATCTTTTTTTAAGACTTTCCATTTCTTTATTAACTATATTGGAAGCTTCAACAAATTATTTTTCTTTTTCTTGAAATTTTTTTTTTCATTTTCAAGAACTTAAATTCTTTGATTAATCAATTATAAAGAAACAACTCTTTGTTCTAGTGTTTCCTTTAATTTTTATAGGTCATTAATTTTTTTTTCTTATAATAGTTAACTTTTTAACATTTCGCTTAATTCTTTTTCTAGATTTTCCTTTTTATTTCTTGTATTTTCAACTCCTTGTATTTCTTCACGGATTTAATAAATTGTTCTATGCCAAAATGTTTCTCCTTTTAATAATTATATATCTGAGCTACCTTAATTTTTCATTTTTTAGACAAAATCTGTATTTAAACTTGATAATAAATTGGCTGTGTCAGAAATTAGTTTTCTAAAATTTTAAATTTTTAGTTACTTTTCTTTTTCGGTTTCGCTAATTTCTTACTCTTCTTCTTCTTCGTATTTTAATGTTTTTTGGTTTTATTATTAATAAAATTCTAGTAATTCATTCTAATTAGAATTTATTTAAATTATTTATTAGTCTAGTTTTTTTATGTTTTCTGTTAGTTTCTTAACTTTTAATTCATTTAGGAAATTTAAAGTTCCTTCGTCAATATTTTGTTAGAATTCCAATATTCGTTTCTGGAATGTATTAAATAATATATCAGGCGATATTTGTTAACTTTTGACAGAAAAAGAAGCTTATTCTAATCCAATATTAACTTTTCCAAGCATAAAGAATAAATAGAGAACATCTTCGTGCTCTTTTTCTTATTCTTATTAATTTTCGCTATTTTCATTTTCACACATTTTCGCATTACATTTAAGCAATTGTTCTATATGAATTTAAGCCGAAAGTATATCTTCTGAGATAGCTTTTAGAGCATTATCAACAAATTAAATTCCTAAAAAAATATTTTTTTAGAAAAGTTAATTTATATTTTCACTATTAGATACATTTTAAATTTATAAATAGGATTTTTTAATAAAAAAAAGTAGTTAATTTGAACCAAACAAAACTGCAATTAACCAATTAAAAAGTGTGTGGTTTTCAGCTTTCAATATATTTTCTGTATTTCTTTATATATAATTAATTAATTCGCTAATTAATAAATTTGTTTTATAATTCCCTTTTTATAAATTCGTTATATATTTTAATGCTTCAGGATTTAGCCTTTAAAAGACAAAATCAGGTATTGATTTTAATAATAGTTCAGCCTTAAATTAAGCATCAGTGTTTACATTTATTAACTATATAGAAGATTATATGTATTTCTTGTACATTTCTCTTTTTTCTTGCAATAATTCTTGGTTTGTTTCTAATAATTTTTGATATGCGGCTGCTTTTTTCGGATTTTCTTCTCCTGTAGTACTTATTTCTTATTAAGCTTCTACTTATTGTTACTTATAAAAATTTGCTTTTTCTCTAATTTTAAAATTAAGGTTTTACAATTCTTAGATTTGCTCTTCTTTTTCTTCAAGAATTCTTTTTAGCTCATAAATTTAAAATTCAAAGGAATTTAAGTCGTTTTACATATCTTTTTCGTTTTCTTCGTAGTTTTGGAGAAGATCTTAATTTATTTTTTGATACTCTTTAAGTTCTTTTATTTAACGTCTATATTCGATGATATTTTCTTCCATTTTTTGGTTTTATTCAGTTATTTTTTCTATTAAATTTACTGATTCTTAATTAATTTCTAATTACTCTTTTAAATCAGCAATTTCATTATTTAAAGCATTAATTTATAAGCTTAAAGTTCCGATTTTTCGTTCTTATTCTGCAATAGTATTTCTTAATTATGGCATTTATTCCAGTTAATTTTTCAATTCAATAATTTTTTCCAAACTTTCGATTTTTTCTAATTCTAATTCTTCATTCAAAAGCTAAACGGCCTGCCTTAATCTTGCATTTATTTTACAGAATTACTCGTCTGAACCTGAACCGGGAAAATCATGTGCTTGCATAGCTTCTTCAAGTGCAAGATCAGCTTATAGTTAATTATCTTTTAATTTTTTATTTTCTTAGAGGAGAATTTCGTTTTCTTATTGAAGATTTTCATATTTTTATTCTAATTATTCTTTTTAAATTAACAATTTTTCAACTAAAGATTCTGTACTGTTTGATATTTCTGATTGCTCTTCTAATGCTTATTTCAGTTCTTAAATTTCTTCTTGAAATTTGATTATTTCTTGCACTTATTTTTCGTGTTGATTTTAAGAAGTTTAATATAATTTTTATTAGAGTTCTTCACATTTTTTTTCTAAGTCTTTTGTCTGTAATAAACGAAGGCTTTCTTCTTTATCTAATTTTTATTGTAGTTTTTGGATTGTCTGAGTTAAATCAGATAAATCATCTTCTTTTCTTTCTAATTCTTCTTTTAATTATTGAACTCTTACGCTTTCGTTTGTACTTTAAATTAATTGACTTGATGTTATTTGTTAGTTAACTTGTTTTTCTTCTGATTTTTATACAGGAGGCTAATATAGTTTTAAATGTTTTTCACGAACAAATATTCCATGTAATTCTTTGCATTCAAAATACTTTTTATCTTAAAATGTACCATTATGTGTTCCTTTTTATATCTTAATTTTTTTATTTATTTCATATTTTTTTTTAAGGCTTATTTATTTTTTTACCGTCAGTTCAACACCAACCCATATTCCTTCTTTTCCTTCCAATTAACCTATAAATTTTATATATCCTTCTTAATCTTTATTTTGGGTATTTGTTAATTAAACATAATCTCCTACTTTAAATTGAATTTATTACATAATTATTTATTTTTATTTTTAATATTTTTTTTCTTATATTTTTATTTAAAAATATTATTATTTTTTATATAAATATATACATATAAAATAAATATTTTTTTATATTGTAAATATTTATAATTTTTTTTCTTTTCAATCAAATTATATTATTATGTTTTATATAATATTAATTACATATGATTATATTTTTTCTTATTTAAGATTTTTTTTTTATTTAATAAATTTTCAATTATATATCATAATTTTTTTTTAATTACTTTAGAATATTTTTTAAATAATCAAACTAAAAAATTGCATAATAATATAATATATAAAAATATTTATAAAAAAAATTAATAAATATTTATTTATTATAATATTAATTAGAAAAAAATTATATTTAAATAATTTTATATCTATAAAATTTTCTAATCTAATATTTTTAAAATAGATATAAAACATACACTTTAATTAAAAATAAATATATTTAATATTAAATTGAATATATTTTAATATAAAATTTTATAATAATATATAATCTTTAATAATTAGAAAAACTTTATTTGCAATATAAAATAATTATAAAAAATCTTATTTATACTTATTTATTTATAAAAAATTTATTATAATATCTTTAATATAAAAAACCATATTATTGCTTCAAATCTCAATAATATTTATTAGATCTGAGCTTTTTATTAAAAAGAAAATAGTTTTAAACATATAAAAATAAAATAAAAAATATTAAATTATATAGAATATATATATACTTTAAAAAATATCTATTTATTATAATATATATTTTAATATGTAATAAATAACAAATAATAAATACTATTTTTATCTATTTAAAATAAATTATATTGATTTTTAGTTATTATAATTAACAAATTTCACTATAAAATAATAAAAAAAATATAGAAATTTAGAATTCTTTAAGAATTAAGAAATATGTAATTAAGCAATGAAATATTTCATTATACATTAAATTATGGAAATATTTAATTTAAATTAATTTTTTTCCAATGGATATTTTTTTGTAAAAAACTCAAACGGATATTTAAATTAAAAAATAAAAACATTAAATTAAGATCTATTTATATTATATTATAAAAATTTAAAATATTATATAAGTTTTCCTCAACATTTGACAAATATCATTAAGAAGAATACATAATAGTAAACATAATTGTTATATAGATATAGTATAATTACTCATAATATCCTATTTATCGAGTTTTAAAATATTTATAATAAAAATATATGTTAATTTAAATATAAATTTTAAATATAAAATATTTATATAAATAAATAAATTATTTATAATAACTATTTTATAAAAAATTAAACAATACTAATAGCTAACTTTCATATTGTTCTTATACAAAAATTTTATAAATCTGTAATTATTTAAATATATTAAAAGTGATTAATATTATTTGAATTAATTATTTATTAAATTTTATATAAATTTCTTAAATGTAATTAGAATTTTTTAATAGGCTTTTTAAATAAACTTAATTTTAAATTTTCTTATGTATTTTTTATAAGACAGTTTAAGAGGCTGATTTTGTGTAGCTTTTTGTTTAAGATAATTCAGTTAAAATGTTTTACATTTATCATATTAATATGCTTAGTATTTTTCTACATGAAATTTTATTTTTCGTTATATAAATTTAATTTAATTAATAATATAATTATTTTTTTCTTTCTAAATTTCAAAAAATAAAATGACAACAAATAACATCCATAAATCAAAAGATGAACAAAATTCAAATAAATAATAAATAAATTCTATGTAAAAGAATCCAGGAATAATCGAATAATTATGGAAAGCACTTATACGTCCTCCAAACAGAATTCAATATAAAATATCTTAGTTAGGTGCTACATCATTTATATTAAATAATACAATAATAAAAAGATATGATTTTAATGTAAAAACTAGACGAAATTATACATTATAGTATTCGTATTTTGAACCTATTGCTGTAAAAGGAACACCTCATCCTTGCGTAGTTTATTTACACGGAAATTCTTCTAGTAGATTAGAAGGGTTATAATTAATCAATTATTTATTACCTTATGGAATATCTTTAATTTTATTAGATTTTTGTGGATGTGGAATTAGTGAAGGTGAGTTTATATCATTAGGGTATTTCGAAAGAGAAGATACGTTAAAAGTAATAGAGCATATCGAAAATTAAGATAAAAAAATATCAGAATTCGGAATATGGGGAAGATCTATGGGCGCAGCGACATCTTTAATGTTAAGTAATATAACATAAATTAGATTTATAGTAGCAGATAGTAGCTTTATAAGTATAAAATAACTATGTAAAGAACTTGCAGAATAATAATAAAAAATACCTAATTTATTGTTTAATTTGGCATTTGGATATTTAAAAAATAAAATAGAAAAAAAAGCAGGATTCGATTTGGAAAAATGTAATCCTTTAGAGGTTATTAAAAAATTGAAATAAAATGACTCATTGCCAAAAATTATGTTTTTGGCAGCTATAGATGATGTTTTGATAAAGCCAGAACATTCTTAAAAACTTTTTGATGCATTTAGAGGTTCAAAAAGAATTATTATATTTGAAGGTAATCATAATTCAAGAAGAAGTTAAGAGATAAATCAAGAAGTAAGTAATTTTTTTTAAAAAGGATTTTTCAATTAGAATGAAAATAAATAATTAAAAGTTTCTAAAATAAAAAAAATAGATAATAATCAAGATTAAAAAGATATTAATAAAAATAAAAATAATATAAAAATTGAAAACCTAAATAAATATAATATATTTAATAGTAATAATAATAATAATAATAATAATAATATTTATAATAATAATAATATTAATAACTTTTGATAATTACATTTATAATTTTTCTTTATACAATTTATTTTTTCATAAAATTTAAATAAGTTTTAATTTTATATTATTTAGTAAATTCTTTATTTTTTTAATATTTATTATTATATTAATAAATTTAATTATTATTTTTTTTTAAAATTTATTTTAAGAAATATTTAATATTATTAAACTATTAATTTTTTTTTAATATATTTTTTTTTAAAAAAATATAAATTATTTTCAATGTAATTTCATATTAATATTAAAAATTAATTATTTTTACAAATTATTTTTTAAAAATTATATTTATTCTTAATTTAATTTTTATATGTTTTAAGATATTATTTTTAATAAATAATTTTTAAATTTTTAAAGTAGAAATAATAAGATGCAAAAAAAATAAAAATAATAAATTTCTGAATTAGATCCAAGCATAATTTATTTTACGCATTCAAAAATAAGAGGATAGTTTACAGGATGTGGAAAAATGATCATGGAAACTTATAAAGAAATAATAGAAGGAACTACTAAAATGAGAGATATTCCTAAAATAAAAGTAATTTATGATGGAGAAAGATATTATTCAATGAATAACAGAAGATTATATCTATTTAAATTATTATATGAAGAAGGAATTATTAAAACTGTAGAAGTATTTCTCGAATATGAAAAACCATCATCAAAATAAAAAAAAAATATGTACTCTTTAAAATCTAAAATTGCTTTAAAATGAAATAAAACTAAAATAAAATAAAAAAAAAAAAAGTTTTATTTAAAAAAAAAAAAAATTCTTTATAATTTAATAATCAAATAAAAAATTATATATGTATATATGTAAATATGAACAAAAAAATAAATACATATATACATATATATATATATATAAATATATATATATATATATATATATATATATATATATATATATATATATATTTTAATTTATATTTTTTTTTTTTTTTTTTTATATATATTAATTTATATATATTTTTATTTATTTACATTTTTATAATAAATAAATTTTCATTTATATATATTTATTTATATATTTAATATTTATATAAATTTATTTGGTATAAAAATATAATTAATAATAAAATTAATGTAGATCGAAGTCAAAAATTTCAATACTGCAAGCGAGTTTTGTCCTTAATGTGGATATTTAATAGAAATGCCAATTTATTCAGATAAAGTAGAATGCAATAAATGTGAATTTATATGTTCTGTTTTGGAATATAAATGTCCTCCAATTATTTCTAAAATATAATTTAGCCATAAAAAACCATGGCTTGAATAATATAATGCTAAAATTAGAGGTGTTGATGATAAAGAGTAAAATTTCAATTAAAAAAAAGCTAAAATTAAATCAGAATGTCCTTAATGTGGATATCATACGATGTATTTTTGGACTGTATAAACAAGATCTGCGGATGAAGGCTCTACTGTTTTTTATGAATGTGCTGATTGCAAGCATACATATACATAAAATAATTGAAATTGCAAAGTTATTGATATTTTAGTAATCTTTTTATTTTTTTTAATTAATAAGTTTTTTTTGGATAAATAAAATTACTATAAGTTAAGTCTATTAGTATTATATATATTTAATATAAAATATTCTTAACATATATTTATTAATTAAATATTTTTTTTTTTTTTTTTTTATAATTAATACAGATTATTATAAATTTGAAAACATATAATAAAAAAAATGTAAACATTTTGGTTTTTTTTTTTAAAAAAAAAATAAAAATTATGAAATATATTCTTTTTTTATATAAAAAATTATTTATATTGTTTTTTTTCTATAAATTATAATTTTCATTAATAAATTAAATATTTTATTTTTTAAAATTTAAATTTTAATATTGTTTTTATTTTAACATTTATAAAATATTTTCTAAAGTGTAAAAATTATAAATGGTTTTATAACTCAATAAAAATTATAATTTAATTATTATTATTTTTCTTTTAAATTTATTATCTTTATAATTTTCTTAAGAAAATTAATTTTAGCAAGATTAAATGTATTTTATTTTATATTTTTAGTTTTTTATAAAATAATTAAACAAAGAATATATGTCTATTAGGACTTTTTTGAATTAATAATTGAATCAAATATAAAAGAATTTTTATTAATCTCTAATAATGAAACATTTAAAATATTCAAAGTTTCTAATTATAGAAATTTGTATGCCATAACAATAAATAACAAAAAATAAGAAATATAAATATAGTCTGAAAACGATAATATGATATATATATAAATTACTATAGAATTACAAAAAGAATAAACAATAATAAAATGCAAATAATCATAGAAAATACTTCTTTTTGAAGGAAGTTTAATGCCAAATAACCAAATGACATTAATATATAAAGAAAAAGCTTTTAAATTGGTAAAAGCAAAAAGAGATTTAAAATAAAGCAAAGGAAAAAACTAAAAATTAAATAAAAATTGTTAATTTAAAATTTATAATTTATTCTAAGAGTTTTGCCTTTTTGAACAAAAATAACGTTTTTTGTAAGTTTGTGATAATTCAATATAATCTTATAAAGTTCCTTATTAAGAAAATTGTTTGGTAAAAGATACTTTAATTAATGTAAATAATATTAATTATATTTATTCAGGAGAATCTTAATTAGATTAGAAAGAAATTAGATATAATTTAGATTTGCTTGATTTCTCAAATAATTTACTAGTTACTGGATATTTTAAATTATAATCATATGATTAAAAATTATAAAATATGATATTTATAAGAAGTGAGGACGATGAACTTTAAGAATTAGTATTGAATGTAATAATTAAAACGTAAAAATAAATAGAAATACGAATTGGTTAAGGAATAGTTAATGTTTATTAATTCGATAATTACATATTTTAATATACTTTAATAGATACTTGGGTTTAAATAGGATTTTATATAAATATAACAAGCTAAAGAGCAGGTTTATTAATATTTTAAAATGATAGCATTGTAAATAAAGATGTAAATGATATTCCTTTAGAGATTATAAATGATAGTAAAAATTACTATATTTGTGTGAAATGTTTTTTGAAAAAATCAGTTTATTTAAAAAATTTAATGGATAGGTTGGACATATAAAAATATTTAAGAATTTCCAAGATTTAAGTGATTTATCCTCAATGTAAAGTTTGATTAAAAATAATAGTGGAAATATGCTTTTTTAATACTCTTTTGATAATAGGGATAACAAAAATTTAATATAGGATGAATAGAAAAATAATAATTAAGTAATTTATCAACTTGAAGAGGAAATTTGTGCAAAAAAAAGTTTATAAATTTAAAGTCTTATTGACTCATCACAAGGGTTTAGAGTTATGATTTAGATTTAAACAAAAAGTGATTCTTTTGGAGAAGAAAAAAAATAAGTTTTTTCTTTGAATTAGACTTTTGTTTTTTTTGTAGAAAAAAAAGATGATTTATATAATGAAATTTCTGGATGCTTTTAATAAGAGTGCTTTAATTTTAATATATTTACCTAAAATTTAGAACAAGAAGAATTTATTTTTGTTTTTTATTAAAATAATTTAAGAGTTTTGGCATAAAGTTAAGAATCGAAAACTACTTTTTAAAATGATTTTACTTTTACTACTTTGGATTTTATTTTAGCGGACTCAGATGCCATTTGTATTTCTAAAATTGCATTAAGATAAGGGACTTATGTATAAGGATTAAATGAATTGTTCTCTTTTTGGAATGGTAAGGGTTTGTTTTTAGGATTAGATCCTTTAATTTCTTTTAGATGTAAAGATTCGTTCGGATTATATAAAGGATAGTGTGTAAAATGCGAAGAAATACAGCCACAAAAAGATGACTTTGGATTCGAGAATTATTATTATTTAAATATAGTATAAAATACTTGTAAAAAATGTCCTGAAAATTGCAAAAAATGTCAAGAAAATGTCAATAATATTATATGTACAGAATGTACTGATGGATTTATTTTAGTAGAAAACTTATGTAAAAGATGTCCAAAAATATTCAATTTAGAGAAGTATTTTTATGACAATAAATGCTTAAGTGAATGTCCTGAAGAACTTTGTATTGATAGAAATAATTTAAGGTGTATTTTTTGTGACAAAAAGGTTTTTTTGGTTGAAAATGCATTCTTTTTTTAAAAGATTTTCTGGGATTTTAATGATTTTAAACAAATCGATATTTAAAGTCTGTTTGTTTGTAGTTTTTAGAAGAATTTTTATTCTTTTTTTGGTGGATCTGCTTCTTAAATTTCGAAACAGTATAAAAATTTACCTCCAAATTATGCTAAGGAAATTACCTTTTTGGCAATTTTAGATGATAGTTTGGATATTTAGCTTGAAGTAAATAATTAAAATTTACTTTTTGAAAAATTATTAGTTGATGAAAATACTGTTTGTGAATTTAATAATAATACTTTAAATTTAAAAGTTTATTCAATTAAAAGTTCTATTCTTAATAGTGAAAGTTTTCTTGACTTGAAAATAAAAAATGCTTTTGGCATAAGATAGTTAAATATAAATGTTTTAAAATGTCATTTTACTTGCTATTCTTGTACTAATGGGGGAAATCCTGAAAACTGTATTTCTTGTCAATAATAAGTACCTCTTTTGTAAATTAAAAGTGAATGTTTGTGTCCTTAAGGCTTTTTTAGGAATTATTTTGGCTGTAATTAACATTCTCCTTGTTATCTTTGCAAATAATGTTCAAATTTAAACTGCATTTCATGTACAGATGATGAAAAATGTACTAAGTGTAAGCCTGGCTTCTATTTTTTTGAAGGATTATGTGTATAAAATTGTACAGATTAAAATGCAGGCTACTAGAATGATGATGTATTGAAAATTTGTGTAATAAAGAAAGTACTTGTCAAAAATATGATGAATAATAATTAAGTAGGGAAGTATTTAGATTTTTTTTATAGAAATTAGTTAAATAGAATGGACTATTAAATAGATAAATGTATGGTCAGTGGTGTCAGTGTATTATTTCCTCCTGCTGTTGGGTCTTAAAATAAATATATTATTTAGAATATAGAATTGAAAGATTTAAACCATTTTAATATTCAGATTTAGATGACTGTTATTTTTAAGGATAGTTTTGATGTAAATGACACAGCCTTCGTTACTATTAATGATTCATTAACTTAATAATTTAAACCACTTGTTTCAAATTGGATTTGTTATAAATCTGCTAAATATTCTTAAAATCTTTATACGTCTTCTAATATTATTTAAAGTATTGAAATTAGGGCTTCTTTAGATGAAGATATAAATAATGAAAGTTTATCTTTTCACGATATTGCAATTTTTTATGAATTATGTCATCCATTATGCATTTCTTGTAAAAGCTTTTCAACTTGTGATTAATGTATTGAGAATGCTTATTTTGATTCCTCTTTAAAGGTTTGTATATGCAATAAAGGTTATTTTTACTCTTCTGGGGGAACCATTTGTGAATAATGTCATTATTCATGCAGTTCTTGTGATGGAGGAAGTCCTTTTTAATGTACAGAATGCGCAAATAATTACTTTAAGGAAGGAATTTTATGTCTGAATGGATGCAGAAGTGGATTTTATTTGAATAATTAAAATGTATGTTTGTAATGCTCAGAGGAATGTTATGAATGTTCGATTTTCGCTAATAATTGCATTTCATGTAAAAGTTAGATGTTTTTATATGAAAGTAAATGTATTTAAAGTTGCCCAGAGGGTTTTAAGGAAAATCTTTGGACAAGAAATTGCGAAAAAATAAATCCATCGTTTTTTTATAAAGGATTAAATATATCGTAAATAACAAATGAGTTGTAATTGTAATAAATATTAAGTTTGATTTAAGAAAATGATTATATTAATTAAGAAAAAGTTTATTTTTGTTAATCAAAAAAAGATTATTTTGTGGGATTTTTTAGCAGCTTTTTCTAAATATAGTTTTAAATTGTTTTACCTTAAGTTTAGCATTTTGGTTATATTTAATTCGAAATTGTCTTTTCATCATAAAATATCCTTTTAGAAATTTTAGATTAATAAAACATTGTTTTAGGTTAAAAAAATTTAATAAATCCTTCGTAAGAGTTAGATTGTGGAAATCCTCAGACAATTGATTTTAGTTTTCCTTATTAATAAACAAATAGCGAGTAGTTATTTCGATTTATAGTGAAAACAAATAATAATTCTTTTGCTGTAAGAAATTTAACTATATAATTTTCCCCATGCCATTCTTCATGTTTAACATGTATAGGTGAGAAATAAAACCAATGTTTAACTTGTATATAACGCGCATATTTACAATTAGACAATACTTGTAAATGTGAAAGTCAATTCGAAGGTTTTCCAACTTCTATAAATGAAATTTTTTGCAAAGTATGTTATTCTCCATGCAGTAAATGCTTTAGGGCAGATACTTAATCATGCTTGGAATGTATTCCATCTTTTTTTTTATATTAAAATACTTGCATTCCAGTTTGTCCTTTAAATATTACGGTTCCTCTTTCAGGCATATGCCTTCCTTGTCCTTAGTTTTGTTCTACTTGTGATTTAAATTTTAAATGTATTAGTTGTATCCCAAATTATCTTATTTAGGATAAGATTTGTGTTTAAAAATGTTCTATATCATATATTTAGTAAAATTAAGTATGTATTCCCTGTTCTGATAATTGCCTTACATGCTAAAATACAATAATTAATTGTACTTCCTGCAATTTAAGCTATTTCTTAAATGAATAAACATAAGTTTGTATCCCTTGTGATGATTTATGTATTGAATGCTTCGGAATTTCATCAAGAGAATGCTCCAAATGTAGCACTGGCGCCATTTTTATTCCTTAATTTTCTCTTTGTACTGTAGATTGCTCTGAATTAGAAGGATACTTTTTCATCGAAAATTCTTGCTAACCTTGCTATCCGAAATGTAAAACTTGTATAAGTTAAAAATAGGAAGATTGCTTAGAATGTATTAAAGGATATACTTTGTAAGATATTTTTTGTGTAGAATGCTTTGATAATTGTAAGTCTTGCTTTGGCTACGAACTTAATTAATGTCTTTCTTGTAAATAAGGGTTCTTTTTGTAAAATAATATATGTCAAATTGAATGTAATTTATCTTTTTTTCCTGACTAAAACTAAGTGTGTTAAGCTTGTTCTTTAGAATGTTCTAGTTGTTTCAGTTCAAGCCCTACATAATGTAATTCATGTAATAAAGGTTTTTATTTATAAATAAATACTTGCATATAATGCCCGTAAAACTGTATGGAATGCTACCAAATTTCTTTATAAGTCCGCTGTTTATAATGTTCGGAAAATTATTTTCTCCAAAATTTTATTTGTGTAAATTAATGTGTATCTCCTTTAAATAATTAAGGCTATTATGCTAATTCTTCGAATAGATCATGTGAATTATGTAATGATAAATGTGCTGAATGTTCTGGTTCATCCGAAATGGAGTGCTTAAATTGCAAAACAGATTTTGTATACTTTTCATTAGGTTAATGTTTGACCTGCATAAATAATTGCCTATAATGTCTTTCAAGTACTGATTGTATATCTTGTTTAGAAGGATTTGTTCTTTCTCTATAAAAATAATGCTAAAGAGAATGCCCTTAAGGTCAATATTTACCCACAAATACCTCAAAATGTGAGTTATGCAGCTCAGCATGTAGTGTATGTACAGATAAAACAACAAATTCATGTTCATAATGTCAATCTGGCTTTTATTTAGAAAAACTTCCTGTTTGGATTGCTCATAAGGCTGCTTAGCATGTACATCAAAAACATAATGTATTTAATGTAAAACTAACTTAATATTTTTTCAATAATAGTGTTTTTCAGAATGTCCTTCAGGTTTTTACTTCCAAGATTAGACATGTGTTTTGTGCCCTAAATAATGTATGAAATGTATTTCTGCTATAAACTGTAATGAATGTGCTTCTGGCTATTTTTTATTAGGTAGCATTTGCCTTGTTTGTGATATACAATGCATTAGTTGTAAAGGATTAGGTCCTCTTTAATGCTTGAAATGTAATTTTGATAAATACTAGCATAATAATGAGTGCATTTTAGCATGCCCACATGGATTTTATTCTGATTTATAGAAAATTTGCTTGTAATGTCCTTTTCCATGTTCTCGTTGTAGTTTTAATAAAAATACTGAATAGCCTTTTTGCACTGAATGTGTTATTGGATTTTTATATGACCTAGAAAACCTATAATGTATTTCTTGTGATCCTAAATGTGCTTAATGTGAAGACTAAACAGATTCAAACTGCCAAGAGTGTACAGAAAATTATTTTTTGAACAATACTACATGCTTATAAGAATGTCCTCCTGGAAAATACGCTAACATTGAATTAAAAATATGCTTACCATGTTCTCCTTAATGTAAAGAATGCTCCCTTTCAGCTATAAACTGTATTTAATGTTATTCTTAATTCTATTTATCAACTTTTGAATGCCTTCCATGTTCTAGTTCCTGCCTCGAATGTACACAGACAAGCACAAATTGCCAAAAATGTGCTCTTTAATACTTTCTTTAGGGCAATTAATGTTAATAATCATGTCAAGAAGGCTTTTATATTGATTCTTTTATATAAGAATGTGTACTATGTGATCCTTTATGCAAAACCTGCTTTCAGCAGGGCGAAAAGGGTTGTATTTCATGCACAGAAGGCTTTTATTTAATAAATAATTAATGCTTAGAATGTCATCCAAATTGTACTAAATGTACAAGTTTTTCAAATTTTTCGTGTATGGAATGCAAAAAAGGGCTTAAATATAACCCATAGACGCTTTCATGTGAATCTTGCGAATAAATATATCATTTTTATGATAAAATATAATAAGATTGTCTCCCTTGTCATGTTTCTTGCACTAGTTGTTATGCTGAAAAAGAGAATAATTGCAAATCTTGCTCTGATAAATATTTTTTATTCGAAGATAGATGCACTTCATGTCCTCCAGGATGCACTGAATGTTTGAATTTGGGCAAATGTACTTAATGTTCGACCTATTTTTATTTGCTAGAAAATAGTTCTTGTGTAAAAAAATGCCCTTAAGGGATGCAAGAAATAGAAGGAATTTGTTAATGTCATGAGACGTGCGGAAAATGTAATATTGATAGACAAAATGATAAATCAATTTGCCAAAAATGTATTTCCTTTGATTTTTTATTAGATTTCTAATAAGATTCTTATCTATGTATTAAATTATCAGAATGTCCTCATTTTAAAGATATTATTAATAGAAAATGTACTATTGAATGTCCTAAAGATTCCCCAATTATAGACTTAGTTAATTATAACTGCTTTTCTGGATAGTGTCCTTTGGATACTGTTTATTTTGATTTTATGTAAGACTTTAAGGGAAGAGTTTGTATGTAAGAATGTCCTGAAAATTTTTATTTATACGAACCTATGCGAGTATGTTTTAAATGCGCCTAATTTTGCAAAAGATGTTTTGGCGATACTTATGAATAATGCACAGAATGCTATGAACCTTATTATATTCATTCGAATATTAATTTATGTGCAGATAGATGTTTACCAGGTTATGTAATAGATGATAATATTCCTTACAAATGCAACATATGTTATTTAAAATGTAAAGTTTGTATAGATAATTTATATCGTGTTGATGATTCTTGCGTAAAATAATGTCCCGTAGGCTATTAATTATAAAAAGAGAGTAGAGAATGTAAAGTTTAATAAAAACCATAGGCTAAAATAACTAATGTTAAAAACGAGCAAGTATTTTCTTTAAATTAAGATATAGAAATTACTTGCGATATATATTCATTAACTCCTATAAAAGAAATTTTATGGGATTTAAAAAACACTTCAGATTAGGATTTCTAAAAAGAATTTATTAATATAAAATCTAGCAATTAGTTACTATTAATTCCTTATCTTATGTTATCTAAAGGAAAATTTTATAATATTAAACTTAATGTTTTGCTCATTGATAATACTTCTATAAACGATGAAGTGATTTTTTATACTTCTAAGGATTCCTTTGATGGAATTTTTATTGTTAATGAGTAGGAAGGGTACTTTGGATCCAGTTTATTTGTTTTTTCAATTTCAAATTGGCTTTTTAAAAATTAACTTTTCTTTGATTTTTATTTTTATGCACTTAATGGTTTATAACAAGAAAACAACAACTCTATTGATTTTGTAAAGGAAAACCTTGTTTAGTTATTTGATAAATAGAAACTGCCTATAAATGGTAAATTCGAATTTTAATACATTTTTTATGCCGAATAAGTCCAAGAGCAAAACATAGTTTGTGAATTGAATGTTTATACTGAAAAATATGAAATAATTTAATATAAATATGTAATTTTAAAACTTTAAAAATAAGATGAAATACAATTAAATGATGAAAAATTAAACATTTATGAATTTCGTTTCTTAAATTCAGCAATTTCGCTTTATAATAAAATACTTAAAGACGAATTATATTCCAAAAAATAATAATAATTCAACTAAAGATAATAACTAAGGACATAAATAGAATTAGCAATTTCTAAAACATTAGATTGTGAAAGCGAAATTGACTGTTTTTCTAATGGAAATTGCTAAATTAAAACTTCCAGTAGTTATTCTTGTTTATGCAATTAAAGCTTTTCTGGATACAATTGCTAATATGAAAATTCTTAAATATAACTTCTAAAATAAGTAATAGATTAATTTATATAAAATAAATAAAAAATGAGCTCTATAATTTAAATACAAGCCATTTCTTTTATATTTATATTTACTAATATATTTGATATATAATAGTAAATGTAATAATTGATTTTAATTTTCATAAATATAGCCCAAGAATATATTTAAATAATCCAAACTTCCCAAATATCATAAAGCACAGGCCAAATACTCATATAATCAATAAATAAAGTTATCTAAAATCCATTTCTTATTTAAGACTAAAAAGATGTTTTGAGCAATTTAGTTTAACTAGTAAGGGTGGAGCTTTCTAAAAAAATCAACCTAGGCGAAAAACTTATATAAAAATCAGAAAACGAAGAATCTTTAATCTAATAATTAGTCGTTTCGGAAACAGAAGATATTTAAATTGAAGAAAATAATAATCAAGCAGGAAGAAGAATTTTGTAGAAAAAGATAAAAGTTGCTTTGTTTTCCTTATCTGAGTTATCAATTCAAATCCCTGCTAATTTAATACAAGTGGCTGCTAAATAAACTATTAGAATATCTACTTAATCAAAACCATCTAAATAAAATCCGTTTTCAATAACTTAAACTGTTTCTATTTAAATTGCCCATTCAAATGGGACAAATGTTAATGTTTATGATAATCCATCTCCTATTGTTATTTAAATTCCTAAAATAATTCCTACTCCACCTTTATAAGTATCATAAGCCGTTAAATGTACTTATTATGATGAAGATACTAATACTTTTAAGGTTATATTTATATATTTTTTTATAAAAAAAAATTTTAAAATATATAGACTGATGGATGCACTTTTGTTCAAGAAACTATTACTCATGTAGTGTGTTCATGTACACATTTAACTGACTTTTCAGCGCAAATTGTTTAGGAAAACATATAATCTACTAATTTGAATGAGGAGAATTATTAAAAAGCATTAAATGAAGGTATTTAGTTAATTTAAACAAGAATACCTAAAAAAATATAAGTTGCTTAACTTCCTAAAATTAGTATAAGTAAAAACTATATAATATATGTATTTTTAAAAACAATAAAACTTAATCAACAGATTAACGATCTTTTAATTTAGTTAATTAATTATAATTTGTAAAAAGTGGTGGTGTTTAAAATTTAATAAAAAAAGCCTTTTTACATTTATATGAAATATAAGAAATAAATGATAATCTTTAATAAGATTTTATTAATCCTTTATCATAATAAGAAATATATTCTCCTGGAGAAAACTAAATAAAAGCAACAATAAAATAACACTAAACAAACGAAATAAAAGGTTATGAATAATTTGGAATTATATCTGTTATAATTTTAGTTGTTTTTTAAATTGTTTTTTTATTAGTAAATAGAGCCACTTTTGAAACACAATATGTAAGTTTATCTCATTAAAACATTAGGATGATAGATTAAATATTTGATACAAATAAAATTAAAATGATAAATATAAATAATAAAATTAAAATGATAAATACAAATAATAAAATTAAGAAAAATATAATTTTAGGAAGCTAAACACAACTGATTTAAGATTAAGAGATAAGCATTAAAAAATTACAAAGTTAATACAAATCCGTTGTTTCATTAATAGATTTTTAAAACAAATCCTAAATAAAAACATCTGAGTGTATTTTAAAATTATAAAATAATTAAAATCAGAATTAAGCCATAATAAACTAAAGCGAGGCTTAAACAAATTAAAATTAAGATGAAATTAAAGCAATTTAAGTTAAAAAAAATATCAAGAAAATAAATGAAAAGGTAGGGTTAAATTCACGTAAGATAGAGAAAATGGAAAAACATATAAATAAAAAACATCGTTAACAAGTAATAATTGAAGATATAGAAAAATAAATAAGTAACCTATAATTTTAAATAAAAAAATAAATAATATACTCAAAATCCAAAATCTTAAGAAAATAGTACAAATACAAATTAATTAATAATAACTAAATAAAATCAAGAAATTGATTAAATAAAAGATTTATAAAAAATCAAACAGAATATTTATGATCTTAAGGATAAATTAAAAAAGAAATAATAATCTTTAATAATTATTGAGAATAAATTATATAAAAAAACTTATACATTAACTAATTAGTTTATTTCTTAAATTAGACTTTTTTCTATTTTACTTAACAATAATTTCATTTTTAGTACTAAATTTACCAGAACTACTTATATAATTACTTAGTTATATATTATCTACGCTTCAAACATGATACTTCAATAAATTTTAAATTAATCTTATTATATATTTTTCTTTAATAAATTATTCAAGTTTGAAATTTTAAGATTTTTTTTGTCTATTTTTATTTGTAATATTTATACTCATATTTTTTATGGATCTGTTAATTATTATTATGCTTCTTTATCTAAAAAATTAATTAGTATTAATTATTAATCAATTAATAAATTAAGAAAATATTTTCTTCTAACACATACTTTTATTGCTATTTTATAATATATTGGTTATTTATTTATTATTTATTAATATGGCGATTATTAATTGAGTAAACATTAATAAAATTAAATTATAATTGAAACTTTTTTTGCATTTTTAATTGATAATATTTTTCTTGATTTTTTAATGGCTTTTTTAAAAGCAATTCTTTCTTAGATTATTAATTTAGAGAATTATTAAGCTTCCAAAGGATTTTATCATTATAAGGAATATGATAATTTAAATATTTATGATTATTATTTATTTGCTTAATCTTTAAGTTGATAGAAATGACATTTTATATATTTTTTGTTTTAATTATAATTACTATTTATTACTTTTTTTATATTTATATTTTTTAAATTTAAAATAATTATTTTATTTTTATAAAAAAAAAATGTAAAAAATTAATAATTTTTAAGACATAGTAAAAAAATATGGAAACTATGGTA